CTCCAGTGGCGCCTCGGAGGACACCAACCCATGGTGCGCAGCCCGTCTTGGGGTCATCCCATGTGGTCCACACCAAGGCTGGGGGTGGGCCAGATGGAGACTGACACCCCTTTCCCCACTCTAACCAAGATGTCCCATGATCCCCTCTTCAGGGTCCCTGACGCCTGCTATGGGCAGGGACTGGCAGAGCCCCCATCTTCCTGGCTTGATAAATGCAGTTTTTACATTTTCACTTTAAAAGAAAAACCCCCTTTTCTGATTTTCTGTTACTGAAGTCATTGGTGAGGTTCAGAATGGGGTGGACTGGGTCAGGCTGGCCCAGCGGGCTGGAGGGTGACCTGAGAGAAGGGAGATGCACCCCTCAGTGCTCCTTCAGGGAAGGCCTCCTCTGCAGAGCTGCCTCACCCACAGGCTCCCTCCCCTGAGCGGCTGCATCTGTCCTAGTGAGGTGGGATAGAGGCCCTGCCACCTGGGCCTGAGGCAGGTCACCCCAGTGGTCCCTCCCGGCTCCAGGACTCCCCGCTGGGCCAGCCCACTGGCCCCGCCACCCGAGCTGGCCCCTCCCCCTGCCCGTCCTCCATCCTCTCGGCTCCCTTCCCAGGTACTGGTCACCAACAGGCATCCTGCACCCCAACCTCCATCTCAGCGTCTGCTCCCGAGGCCTGACTGTGACACTTCTACAAGCAGGAGTCTCGGGTGGGAGGTGGCCACAGCCAGGTCGTGGCTGAGTGCCTGCCTGCCCAGGCTGCCAGACCTGGCCTGCCACAAGGTGACCCCAGGGCACAGCTGGCCTTGCCCTCAGTCGTGGAGGACGGGGTCGTGGGCTCTGCCAAGTGTCCGCACCCAGCACACGTCTGCACCCAGCGAGCATAGAGTGTCATGTGGCCTGAATGGGCTAAGGAAGAGTCTGGCCGGCTGGAGATAGGGGTCAGTGAACGAAACCGAATCTAATCAAATCAGATAGAAGAGCATCGAATGGGTTGTCACTACTTAGTGGCATGATGGGCTCTCGAATGTGGAAGAAGACACAGCCCCAGGAAGTCGCAGCTCCGCTGGAGAGAAGACTGGCTGAGAACTTCTCATCTCTCCCGAAGCTCTGGAGCTTCCCATCCATCCAAGGAGGGGCGGCTCTGCCCGGGGGTGGGGGGGTCCATGGTTTCTTGAGGTCCGGAGCAGGGCTGTCATGGCCCCAACTGCCTGGCCCTCTTCCTTTCCCCCAGAGCCCTCCACCCCCAGCTGCCAGGCCTGGCTGGGCCCAGGGAGCCCCAGGGAGGAACAGGGCCTGGGTCCCAGGGAGCAGATGCTGGATGCGGCACGACAGGGCACCCTAGGGGCCTGGCACTGTTTGTGAGCCCCACAGAAAGAGGAGCTGCAGGGGGCCCAGAGGCAGCACTGCCCAGACTGTGAGGCCCAAGAGGAATGACCGCTGTGCTGTAAACATGCCCACTCCTGGGTAGTGGCCGGGACCCCTCGCCCTCTGCTCCTGACAGGAGGTGGAGCTAGGTTCAACCTCCCCACACCCACAGCCCAGTTTACCAGGGCTCCCTCAGGCCCTGGGGCCTTTGCACCTCCCTGGGACGGTGCTGCAACAGCACTTTCTCAGCCTCCGAAGACTGAGCCTGGAGAAGGCGGGAGCTCCTGCTCACCCACAGAAGCACACCCAGGCCTTGCATACCTGGTGCACAGTAGGTTCTTGATAAGCTCTGGATGGACAGAAGCCACAACAGCAAGGCCAGCACCGGCGTCCAACCTCGAGTCCCTCCAGCAGAAACTCTGGTGGCCCTCCTGCCCCACAGGGCCCCTAAGCTGGCCCTGTTCTCCAGGACAGCCCCAAGTCCCAGCTCTCTCTGCTCAGATACCCCATGGGATGGGTCTGCCCCAGGGAACCTGACCGCGTCCTCCCACTTCTGTCACACTGCTGTTCTCTGCCCAGGAGTACTCTGCATCCCATTCAGGCCCCAGGGATGGCACCAGCCCTCATCCCCCCAGTTGCACCCCTCCCAAGTAACCACCGTGCCCAGGATTCAGAGCGGGCACCTCACTGCCTCAGAGATGGGGGTCTGGCCCCCACCCTGGCCCCACACCCCAAGCCCACTTCCTGTGTGTGAGAGCTGTCCAAGGTCCTGAGCACACGCAGGCTTCTCGGACCTCAGGCCCTGAAACCACAGTCCTGTTGGAGACACCACCAGACGCCACACACGGGGCCGTGCACCACAGGGACACGGAGTCCAGCGAAGGGGCAGGGCCCTGCAGGCGAGGGTCCTTCAGAGAGAGAAGGCCTGGGTCTTGCTCGAATGCTCCGCCCTCCTGGTGTCCACCACACTGACCAATCTGCCTTATCGGTGACCCCTTGGTGGCCCTGGTGAGCAGGCCTGGCTGCCTCTCCTGTCACAGGTCATGCCACTGTGCTCCACATCCAGGCCCGGGGCCTCTCCGAGCAGCACTGCACACCAGGTCTCAGGGCATCTGTGCAGGTCCCCCCCCCCCCAACTCCCCCTTCCTCAGGCCTCAGCTCTCACTCGATACCCCTCTCTTGTCCCGCCTCACCAAGTGGGTCCCTCTGCCTGCTGGACTGGCCGGTCCCCTGGAAGGAGCTCCCGTTTAGTTCACCGAACCCTCCTCACTCGACTCAGCCATTTCTACATGGTAGATGCTCCACAAGCCCACGCACTGAGTGAACAGAATAGGGCAAGGTCCGAGGCAGGACCCCCCCCCGTGTTCATCCTCAGGGGCACGCAAGCCCTTCCTCCTCATGTCTCCCTCTGACACCCCGCCCCAGTGTCCCTGCCTAGCTCTCTGTGTCCTTACTGTGCACCCTGTGCAGGCAGGTGCTGTTGGCCTGTTTCCCCCACAGCACGCAGCGCCAGGCTGCTGCTCAGGCACTCCAGCCATCTCTATGAACCACAAAACCCCAAAACCAATCACACTCCAAGCCACTGAGGGCTGCTTCTCATTTGGGGGTGAGGCCTAGACAGTGCCAGCATCTGGTCATGCATCTCAGGGTGGGGCACGCACCACAGATGCACAGGCACCCAGTAAGTCAGGGGGCACACGCTGGCCTGCTAGGGGGCTGTTATGCCACCCATCCCAGGCCAGTATGCGGTCAAGGACCGTCACCAGGGCAGAGACTAGAAAGGAGAGGCTGTTTCTGCACAGCAGGCAGCTGCGCGAGGCCCTAAGCAGAGCTGATGGCCCAAACCTTGCATGGGCCCTAGACAGCCAATAACCCGACAACGTGGCTTTGGTGCGTCTGGCCCACTGCGAGGCTCTGGGTTTGGTGAGTGTGGGGGGATGTGGGGGTGGCAGATGCCCTTTAAGAATTAAATTCGATTTGCTCTAAAGTCATACCCAGTTTTATGATCCAGAATTGACCCCTAGAGGGGAGCAGGAAGCTGGCTGGGGCATGGTCGTGGGTCCTGACCTGGAGATACTGAGAAGTAATGAGAGTTCATGGGCTATAAAGAGGGGTTTGGGGTTGCAGCACTCCATGAGCAGGCTGGCGGATGCCACACGCCTCTCCTGCATGGTTGCATTGTCTTACTCGTGTGTGCAATCCAGTTGAACCCCCTGCATGAGACACAGTTATCTTGGAAGCCCTGGAAGATCTGGCCAGATGAGTGGCCAGAAGAGCCCCTGGAACTGTCCTCTTTCCAGTGGACCAGCAGGGGCCCAGTCCATGGGGACACCAGGAAGAGATGGAGGAGGTGGAGAAGGAACCAGAGTTACCTGGGACAGGCAACTGCACCTTCTCCCAGGGACCCCCAGGCCCTACTACTGCCCAAGCCAGGTCACAGTCAGAAGGTTGGCAGCCTCGACTCCCACCTAGCCCAATAAAGGGTCGTATCCAGGGGTGACCAGGGTTCTCCCCCTGCTTCTGCTGAGTGAGAAGCTAGAGTGAGGTCCAGGAATCCTGGAGGAGTCCTTGAGGGGGTTTGAAGATGTGGAGGGCCCAGCAGAGGGATTTATGGGATCTTCCTGGTGGCTCCCCCCTGAAACCACTACAGACCTCCTGGGACCCTCCCAACCACCAGGAAAGAGACTGCCCAGCTGGAGCTGTGAACTTCCCTTCCTGCAGAGGGAGGTTGAGGCTTGGGGCCTGCTGAGGAGGCTGGGAGTGGGGCTCCACACCAGGAAGGAAGTCCTCCTCCTGATTGACAAGCCAGAGTGTAGCAGGACCCCAGGCACCTGTTCCCAGCAGGTGAACATTCTGGGGCCGCCCAAAACATGGGGCCTCTGCCTCCAGCCACAGGAGACATCCCCAGACAGCAGCTCTCTACCCCATCCCACTCGAACAAGGCTGCCCCTGGCTGCAGCAGCTGGGTGCAGGGTGGAGCTGGGCACCCAGGATGTGGGTTCAAGAGCCACCAGAGCTGCGAGGGAGACGGGTGGGATCCTCAGCTTTCTATCCACTGTGAGGTCCCTGAAGGGCTGAGTCCACCAGACCCGTGGCTGGAGAGCTGGAGGCACATAACACTTCTGGGTGCCACCAGTGCCCACAGCTGGGGGTGGCCTACGCCCCAAGCCCACTACTGGTTGGGAGGCTGGGTGCGCACCAGCAGATGCCCCCACCTGTCCTGGGGGAGAGCGGAGCAGGCCCCATCCTGAGTGGAGGCTGCGCCTACAGGGCTTGACCCTGGGTGCTGAGAGGCACAGGAACGGACCACCGCCACGGTCCTCGCCACCTCCACAGGGCTGGAGAGGTCGAGACAGGCTACACAGCCGGGCCGATCGGAAAGGATGGCCGGGGCAGGGGAAGCGGGTGGGCCTTGCTCTAGGACAGCGCGGGGCCTCCTTTAGGGTAGGGGAGGTGGAAGGGAGACAGGCTTTTCTCTAGGACAGGGACGGGGGCTCCTTTAACGGCTCCAATCCCAGGCCAGCCGGACGCGCTTCCCAAGCTGCACAGGTCATACGGACGCCGGGGGGGCACTTCCGTCAGGACCGGCCTGCGAGGGCGGGGCCGGGGCCTCGCGGGCTGGGGGCGGGCCGGGGCGGGGCCTCGCGGGGGTTGGGGGCGGGCCGGGCCGAGTTGGGGCGGGGCCGGCACGGCGCCTCGATATAAGTAGGCGCGTCCGCGCATGCGCAGCCGGCGCGTCCCGGTCGTGGGTCGGCCTCTCGCGTCTTCTCTGCAAATGGGCTCTGTGGCCTAGCGTCCCCGTCCCCGCCACCCGTGATCGCGCGCCGAGGCGCGCGAGGGGTCGCCGCCGAGGTGAGGGCCGGGGCGGCGCGTGGTGGGGCCGAGCGGGCCCGAGTGGGCGGCGGGGGCGGCCCTCAGCGCGACGGGCGGCCGGACGGACCGAGCGGCGGCCGGAAGGACGGGCGGGGACTCGAGCCGGGGTCGCGGGGGACCGGGCAGCGGCGAGGAGGGGCGCGGGTCGGGGCGGGTGGTCGGGCTGGGCCGGCGTGGGCCGGTTCCGGGAGCCCCCGGCTGGCGGCCCTGCGCACAAAGCGCCTTTGTTCCGCCCGCGCGGCCGGTTCGGGCCGGTTGGCGCCGCCCCGCCCCGCGCGGCGAAGGCGGACCGGGCGCTCCGGAGCCCCGCCCCCGCGAGGTAAACAAACCCGGGTCGCCGCCCGCCCGGGAGTTCGGGGCCGGCCGGGGTCCCCCCGGAGTGGGCGCTCCCTCCGGGGGGCAGCCGGTGACCGCAGGGGCTCCCCGACGCCCTGCGCAGGCTTCCGCCGGCCCACAAACAGGAGCATGGCAGCCATCCCCTCCAGCGGCTCGCTCGTGGCCACCCACGACTACTACCGGCGTAAGTGAGCTCCTTCCCGCCGCCCGACAGGTCTGACTCCGGGCCCTCTCCCAGCTTGTGGTGTCTGCAGCCCCTTGAGAACCCCTGTCTGGGTGGAGAGTGGGCTGCGCGGGCCCCCGGCCCTGCCCCTGTGCTGCCAGCAGAGCCAGCGCTTGGCCTAGAGGGGTGGGTGGGCCTGGGCTGCGCGCTGGGGGCTGACCGCGGCTCCTCCCCAGGCCGCCTGGGTTCCACTTCCAGCAACAGCTCCTGCGGCAGCGCCGAGTACCCTGGGGAAGCCATCCCCCACCACCCCGGTGAGTGCAGGTCCGCGGTCCTGCCCGAGCGCCCCACCAGGAGTGGGCGGCAGCACCGTGACCCCGCTTTGCTTTTCTCAGGTCTCCCCAAGGCCGACCCGGGTCACTGGTGGACGAGCTTCTTTTTTGGGAAGTCCACTCTCCCATTCATGGCCACAGTGTTGGAGTCCCCAGAGCAGTGAGTGCCCCGTTCTGGGGGCCAGTGTGGGAGAGGGGGCAGGCGGAGGCAGGCTCTGACCACCGGTTCTCCCCCAGCTCGGAGTCCCCCCAGGCCTCCAGCAGCACCATCACGTGTGACCTGGCTCCAGAAGCCTCGAGGAAGCAGCCTGGTGGCCAGCCTGCCAAAGCCAATGCTGGGCCCCGGTCCTGAGTGACCGCCACCTTCCAGAGGCCCTGGGTTCCTCAGAGCCCCTCCCTGCCCCGCCCACCCCCTACACTAGGCAGGCTGGTGGAAGCAGAAGCAGTTGGGTTCCTGTATATTGAAACAGCAAAACACCAAAAAGGAAAATGAGAGAACCCAGCTCTTTACCACCCCAGCCGCACAAGAGCCTTCCTGACACCCAGTGACCGTGTGCCTTGCCCCAAGTGCAAAATAAACTCCAAGTGGCCAGCAGCCCTGGTGGTGTGTGTGAGCTGTGTGCCCCGAGGCCTGTGGGTGAAGTCACTGAACCCCACCCAACCTTCTCACTTCTTCCTGGGGGTGGGGAGCGGGCTCTGCTTCCTGGGGCCCCTCGCTGGAGGCCATGTCTGAGGCCTGGCCCAGGTTCACAGGTGTAGGGTCTTGCTCCTGAGAAGGGCTGGGGTGCCTTGCTATTTTGAGGAGTATGGGAGAGCAGGCAGTTTAGGAACTGGACAGGGAACCTCGAGGGCAGCCACTGAGGTCACGGTTTTTTAAGTGGCTTCATCCCTGCTTCCCGTGGCCGCCGTTGGAGACTGGGCCTCTGGGTAAGGATTCAGGAGCCCTCAGCTGGAGGGACCTTGATGAGGCCCCAGTTGATACCAGGGAGGGAGATGAGGGAACACGACAGATGCCATGTGTGTCCCAGCTGGGTGAGGCAGCTCATGGGGGCAGGCATTGGGCCACACTGCCTGCCAGCTGCCGTTCCTGAAGGGTGTCACTTCCTCTAGCTTGGGGTGAGGCTCACTGGTCAGGGCTCCCAACCCTGGGGCTGAGGGGCAGGAGTGTGGGGCGCTCCAGAGGGCCCTCCCCGCCACAGGCAGTCCCCACCTTTGGGCACAGTCCAGCTCAGGGAGCTGCGGGCGTGGTTGTGTATTCTCTGCTGGACTCCTTCAGCGGCAGGTGTTGGTGGAGGACTGCCTGTGCCACATGCCTCCAGTGGCCAGCAGAGATTGACCCAGGTCTGTTGGTCAGCGAGGGCCCCAGAAGAGGGCAGCTTGGGGGACGGGACAGACTTGGAGTGAGGTCTGGGGTTCAGTGAGGGGAGTGGCCTCCACTGGTTGGTGGGCAGAGCTCAGGTATCCTGAGGGGGCCGTCCTCTTCCTGCCAGTTGGCCCTGCTCTGTGCTATAAATAGCAGCGAGTCCATTCCAGGTGTCTGCAGTTTGTGACCCCAAAAGGCTTCAGCCTTTGTCCGTTACTGCCTTCGGCATGTCCAAGCAGGCTGCAGGGTGGTGGACAGCCTCTCCCAGGCTCCCCGAGGCCAGTGGTCAGTGCTGAGGCTGGGTAGGGGAGACCCTCATTCCCATCCCCTTGGATGGGCCTGGGGGAGTGGTGCCCCGAAGTGTAGTCAGGCCCACCCGGTCTTTCTGGCCAGGGTCTAGAGCAGGCCCCAGAGCCCCTGGCAGCAGCGGCTGCTTGGTGTGGCAGAAGGCCAGGGACAGCTGCCTGGACCCAGGTGCCAGGCGGTGGTGCCCCACCACCAAATGACCCGTCTCCGTGGAGTGTTGGGGAGTCTGTGCTCCCTGAAATCACGGGGCAGGCGGGGTCCAGGGAACAAAGGGCCAGTGCAGCCGAAGTCAAGGTGGTGCCCGTGTGTGGTCCAGGGAGGCTCAGCCCTGGTCCTGACTGAGCTAGTGGGCTTCGGGTCAGGACCAGGGATGGGTCCGCTCCCTTTGCGAGAGGGGCAGCCCAGCTCCTGGAGGGCTCCAGATTTGGAGTTGGCCCGGGTGGGCAGGTGCTTTCCAGGAGCTGGTGTCTTGGGGCCAGTGGGAGGAGGGGGCAGACTTCCCCTGCAGTCCAGACTACAGAGTGCGCTTCCCCACCCCAGGACCGGGCAGGCCCACAGCCCGAGGAGCTCCTACTAAGGAATCTTCTCCTAAGGAATGCACAGCCTGGCTCTGGGCGCTGTTGGCACTTTAGGCAAATCCATGAATCAGAGGGTCAGGCCAGGCCCTTGATCCGAGGTCCATGTTGTCGCCCCAGGCCCCTGCTCACCGGGAGGCAGTGGCAGGGAGGGCCACTCAGAGCGGATTCTCGTATCTGGTGAAGCTGGAGAGCTGCTCCCGCAGGGTTTTGAAGGAGGGCCTCTGCTCCGGGTCCTTGTGCCAGCAGGAGAGCATCAGCCTGTGTGCAGTGGGAGGGCACTGGGGGGGACGGGGCATGCGGTAGCCTGCCTCCACCCTCAGGAAGGCCTCGTGGTTGGACATGCCTGCCAGCGTTGGGATGAGAGGGGCTTTCGGGGGCTGAGGGACCGTGCCCATCTGCCCTCCACCCACCACCAGGAAGTCCTGCCCTGCCGCCTGCGGCCCCTCCCAGGAAGCCTGGGCCTGCCGTGCATCCCCTGCACACGTTGTTAACACCATCCTTTGGACGGCTGCCCCTGGGAGGTGGCCCCTCCCACCCTGCCCACAGTGGGGGACATTGGGGGCCCAGTACCTGGATAGGGCATCTGACCCCTGCTGAAGATCTCATGGAGGAGAATCCCGAAGGACCACACATCAGATTTGATGGAGTAATGCCCTCGGGAGAGTGCCTCGGGCGCCGTCCACTTGTAGGGGATGTTGTGGTCATAGGAAAGGTAGATGTCCTCCTGTGATCAGACACATGCTGGAGGTGGGCCTTGGGGGAGCCTGCACCCCTCCCGTTCCCCCAGCAGGGACAGGCATGGGGAGCAGGGGCCTGGTGGGAGGTGTGCGGCCGCCTCGCCTGGAGAGTGGACACTGATGACATGCTGTCAGGACACACCGCCATCACGGCTGCCACTACAGGCAGCTGCTGCTTCACTTGGAGACAAGCAGGCCCAGGGCCCCAAGAAGAGCTGCTTTCCCTCAGATTGGTGGAGGGAGGGAGCAGGAGGTGTGGGGGAGACAGGAGGAGGAGAGAGCTGGGAAGTTGGGGTCAGGAAAAGCATGGCCCTCTTGGGTCATGTCAGAGGAGCCCAGAGGTGGACAGTGACCATCATGTGGAGTCCGCAGACGTTCTCAAAGTCATGAGTTCACAGAGATGCCAAAAAAGGTGGACTGGCTACCACTGGACGAACTCAGAAAAGCCTGCCTTTCCATCCAACCTGGCCCACTACTGGCTGCAGAGTGGAGGAGAGTCGTGTGTCTTCTAGAAGCATCCAGCTCACGATGAGGAAAAAACCACAGCATCAGCACCTCACCCCCGTGAGCGAAGCAACCTGATGCCTGCTGTCCGCGGCCGGCCGGCAGTGTCACAAAAAAAGAAGCAGACTGCTCCCCATCTGCCAACAGACCGCACCCCACCAGCCGACAGACCGCACCCCATTAGCCAACAGACTGTGCCCCGGATACCAGCAGACCGCACCCCAAAGGACCGAATGACAAACCCAGAGCAGAGGGCTTCACGGAGGAGGGGCGACGAGTCTCAAACGTGAGTTTCGAGGAGACGGAGCAGAGCGGTGCTTTGAGAGACAGGCAGTCAAGCAGCTGTGACACATGGGTCTGCTCGAGGGGCAAACTGAAGTGAACTCACCACATTTGCAAGAATTTGGGAACTTGGCTCTGAGGGGACGTGATGACTTTAAGGAGTCCCCACTAATGTTAACAGTGTGATGATGGCATTGTGGCTGTTTTGTTTGGAGTCCTTATAGAGATGCCAAGGTGTGCACCTGCGCGGGACTTTGGTGTAAGCATGGAGGGAGGAGGGCCGTGCGGGCTGTCCCCTGGTGGTACTGAAGCTCGCTGCTCTCCTCTGGCCCCATTTGTCTTCAGAATCCTCCGTAAGAAACAAGTTTCCTTTATGTGGGGGGCAGCTGGGGAGATGTTTACCCTGAGCTCACAGACCAGCCTGCAGGAGGCCGGGGCAGTGACACTGAGTGGACGAATGAGCAAATGAGTGGGACCCTTAGCACCCGGCCCCTGCTACACCACAGCCCACCACTCAGCAGAGACCTTTTGCTCCGTGGACCCCCCACCCCAGCCTCTGGCCCTGGGTGGTTCCCCTTTCCCTTTGCAGCTCCTGGAGTCGTCTGTGTGGCTCCGCAGCCCTGTGACTCACCTGTCAGAGCCACAGCTGCTTCAGCTCCCCAAGGGCAGAGAACCCACGGGAATCCCCAGCTTCATGCACAGAGGAAGCCCCGCACCCTCCACCCTTTGCCCCTTGCCCTCTACCCTCCAAGGGCCCCACCTTGACGAGCCTGGCCAGCCCGAAGTCCCCGACTTTGCAGATGTGGTTTTCCCCCACGAGGATGTTCCTGGCAGCCAGGTCCCGGTGGATGTAATTCTGTGATTCCAGGTAGCACATTCCCTCGGCCACCTGCCATGTGATGTCCACCAGCTCTGAGACGGGCAGGGCTGTCTCGTCAGAGTCTGGAGACAAGAGGAGGCCAGGGTCAGCGGGGCTGGCTGGGGCCAAGCTCTCTCTGCCATGGGCTCTTCAGGCTCCTGGGCTCGGGAAGGGCTGGGGCAAAGGGCAGTTGGCTGATTTAAAATTGGAACAGTGGACCCGCTGCAGCCCTTCTGAAAGGCAGTTAGGTATCTGAGCCAAAGCACGGTGCAAACATGTGCTTTTCCCCACATTTTGCCTTCCGGGAATCTACACGAAAGCAACAGGAACGCAAAGACGTCAGGACAGAGGTGTTCATCACAGCATCGTTTACACAGCTGCGAACCTTGAAAAGGTGCAGCCTCCAGCAACGAGCTAAATGGACGCAGCCTATCTACGCGGTCGTGTACAGACCCTCAAAAATTTCTGAAGAACATTTAATGACACGGGAAACTGCGGCAATCAAGCTTATGTGAAAAATTTTCCATTCAGAATATTCCCAATGTTGATGTCTAAGTATATTCCCAGATGTGCACACACACGTCCTGGGTGTCATTCACCCGGCCCTGCACGTCTTCCCATTTACCGTCTCAGGACACGGGTGGCGTCCACACACACTGGCACTTCCACTCATCCACAGCTGTTGTCTTTGGTTTGGGAGTTAAATAAAATAATGGGGTTTGTTACGGATGATGAGGTCTCTGAGCCAACGGATACGTCCAGTGTGTGAGCATGCATGTAAGTGTGCATGTCTGAGTGTGCATGTGTAAGTGTGTACTGTGGTGTGAGTGCATGTGTGTGAGTGAGTCTTGTGTGCATCTGTACGTGTGTGGTGCGCATGCGAGTGTTCACGTGTGTACGTGTGTGTGAGTATAGGTGGCTGTTTAAGTGTACATGCACACTCAAACCCAAGAAGGAGGGGCGGTGCCTTCTAAGAAGAGAGAAAAGCAGTGAGAACCAGGCCTGCAAGTTCCAGAAGCAGTGGGGGTGGGCAGGCCGCTCCAGGCATTAACTGTGGGTGCAGGAATTATGAGTGGCTCTTGTCTTATTTGTACTTATCCGTGTCTTCTCAAATTCCTACAATGAACAGATGGTACATTTATCACATACTGTAAGTCGTTCCTTAAACGGGAAAGGGCTGGCGAAGGCATCTGAGTCCCTGGCTGTCTGCACGTGGCAGGGGGTGGTCTGGGTTTCCTTTTTCTTTGTCATGTGTCCCCTTGCCGGCTGCGAGCAGGGGTGACTTCCATCCCCGGGAAGGGGCCTGCTCACCCCGCAGCAGCGCCAGCAGGCTCCCCTTGGGCATGAGCTCCGTGACGATGTACACGGGATCTCCCACGGAAGCCACGGCGTACAGCGCCAGGATGTGCTTGTGCCGAAGCTGCTTCATGGCCTGGATCTCCGCCTGGAATGTGTGCTGGTGCAGGAGGTCATCTGCAGGGCCGGCTGCCTCAGTGGGTGCGGCCCCACGGAGAAGGCCAGCCCCTGTCGCTCCCCCATACGCGGCAGCCCCCAGGCCAGGATGCCAGGGCAGGCGCAGCCCAGCCCCAGGGCAACCCAGCGCCACAGCCTCATGTTCACAGGAGCAGATGGCGCTCACCACACCCCGGGCACCTCCAATGCCCCCGCGTGGCCAGCACCTGCTGGAGCCAGATGCAGGGCCTAAACACCCCCAAGTGTGTCCCCACGCCCCCTGGGCCCTGGTTCCTGAAGTGGGATCCAAACTCCAGTGGGTCCCAAGGAGACATTAGATGAGCCTTTTCAGATTCCTAGTGACCTCTTTATTTTACTGGCTTTCCATTTACATCAAGGATTTAAAATTCCCTTTTAAAATAAATGAGTTTAGGTAAAAACAGACACAATTGAAAGGAAAATGCTACCTTGATGCCGCTGTAGATGCCACGTAGGGCGCAAGTTAAGGCAGCGTGCAGCACGTGGGACATCAGGGCCTGGGCTGGATTGGCTGCCCCCACCCCGGTGAGCGAGGCCAGAAGTCCCTCTTGGTGGGACTGGCAGGGAGGCGTGGGGTCAAGCAGGCCCCCCGGCCTGAGGCCCACTCACCTCGGGCGATCACCTTAATGGCCACTCGGACCTGGTCCTTCCAGAGCCCTTCGAAGACCTCCCCGAAGTAGCCAGAGCCCAGCCTCCTGCAGAGTGTGAATTCCTCCCGCGGCCGCTCCCAGTCGTCACACTGCGGCAGGGGCTCCGGCTCGTGCTGGAGGGACAGGCAGGGCACGTGGGGCGGGGGAATGCTGTCCAGTCACCCAGCCCATCCTCCAGGAAGCCCACTCTGCCTCCAGCAGGGGGTGCCCCGCTCTGTCAGCTGGGTCGTTCAGCTTGGATGGTCCCCGAGTGCTGCATGTGGCTGGGCTCTCCTAGGGGCTGCCCCTGCCTGGCTGCCCCTGCTGTGCATGCAAACACACGCCACCCTCATCGCCCTCTCTGGGCCAGTGACTGGCCTGAGTGCCACTGAGACAAAACTGTCCGCCTGCTGGCCAAGGCACACAGCCCTTGTCCCCAGGCTCCCACCAGCCCAGAGAGACTCAGCATATGACAGCGGCACAGCTGACCTCTCACTGGCCCGGGGGTGAGAGTGACCCGGCAAAGGAGGGCAGTTCTCCTGCACACCCTCCTGCTCCCACACCCGGCTCTGTGCAGCCACAGCTTCCAGGCAGCCCTGATCCCCGGGGCCCAGTCCCCTCCAGGGGGTCAGTGCATCAGGACCCACACCCACCCTGTGCAACCCTGAGGGTCCCTGTCGAGGAGAGATGGCTGTGGGTGGGCACGGGCAGGGCGAGGGTCCAGCAGGGCAGCCCTACCTTCCAGCAGGGCACGGTCAGCCGCAGGCCGTGGGACAGGCTCTGGGCCCTGTGGTGGTCCACGAGGTCAGGCAGGCTGGGGAAGGACACGGCCTGGTTGAGGTGCAGCCGGCCGGCCCGCCGCCAGATCTTGTAGTGCCGCACAGCCTGCGTGTCCCGCACTGAAGCGCAGGGAGCACGGGCAGAAGGAGGGACACACGTGAGCAGGCGCGCGCACCCCGGGGCCCCTCAGAAAGGAGCTTGCAGGTCAAGGGGCAAAGTGGGCACCATGCTCAACTTTCTGCCCCCAGGGTGCTACCAACAGGGAAAGGACAAAACGCAGACCCCGGACCCCAGGGGCAAGCCATGCCCACTGGCAGGGGTCAGAGCTCCCCTGAGGAGGGCCGGGATGTTGGAGATGCCACAGCAAGACAGAGGGGACAGGCCAGAGGGAGCCGGGCTCTCTGCATGCAGGGAGGGTTCAGGGGCAAGGAGCCCCAGAGTCAGGCGGGGTTGGGCCACAGAGGGGAGGAGCAGGGACTGTACCCGAGAGGACGTAGTCCACACCCGGCTTCTCGCTGACCCTGATCAGGAAGGCACCCGGCTTGTTGCCCTCGGCCTGCAGTCGGTGTAAGGCTTCTGAGCGGGAGATGCGGCCGAAGAACCACCTGGGGGGAGTGTGTCCTGAGCTTGCTGACCCCCACGCTGCCCACCCTGAATCCCAGCCCCTCACCTGACCCTCTGCCTCCTTGTGCTCCCAGCCGAGACCCACAGCTGCCCTCTGATAGTCCCCCACCCAGAGACCCCTTCCCTGCCCATCATAGACCCCAAATGTCTCAAATGGCCAGTTCTGGACACCAGGAAAGGCCCTAGTGGCCCAGAAGAGGGCAGACACCTCCCACCACCTGCCCTGATGGCCCCATCCCAGAGACATGCCGTCCCATCGTGTGCAACCACATCATTCTGTGATTCTGTGGCCACCTCCTGTGACCTGGGCCATGGACACAGTGCTCCTGCTCTGTGGGACCTAGGGTTGGGTGTCTGAGCAGCAAGAAAATGCACCCGTGCACTTGGACTCACATACATGCACCCACATACTCACACGTGCACCCACCTGCTCACATGCATGCGCCCACACACTGACATATGTGCACTTGCACTGATATGCATGCATCCACACACTCACACACATGCACCCTGCAGGGGCATTAGCTGGTGTGCCCCTTTAAAGACCACATGTCCTTGAGGCTCCTGTCTGGGCTATGCGCCAGCACTCACAATGATAATAGTCCTGGGCTTGGCCAACCCAGCTGCTTTCTCCTGGGATAGTTGGCACAGAGACCCTTGAGGTCTGAAGGAAAACAGAGGCCCTTGGGGAGGGGGCTTTGGTCCTTGGAATGCAGGATACAGGGACGTTCCCCCATGGCAAGCATGCAGCCTTTGTCCTTCTGCCTGTTTAAGCTGGCTTCTCACAGGGGGCGGTGGCCGTGTGCAGGTCTACGTCCAGCCAGCCACCCCTAGACTCTCTCCCTGTACGTAAGTCCCAATAAATCTATCCGTCTCGCCCACCATCTCCAGAGTATTTCTTCCATCTGTTGGCACGATACCCTGCTGCCCTAGCCCAGCTGGGTGTGCAGCCTTACACTTGGCGAGCCAGCCAGGAGACCAAAGAAACCCCCGTGAGCACCGAGACTATGGGGGATGGGAAGGGGAAATCCAGGGAGGGAATCCCCGGCTGGCAGGCCTCCTCCATGTGGGAGTGGGTCACTGCCATCCTAGATGGACGGGGCTCACCGCATGAGTACGGGGACGCCCCAAAAATGCCAAAGGGCCTTGGGGAAGTCCTGGGCATGGCCGATGTGAGGAACTGAAAGTCAGAAGCCCGGGTGGCAGCTGCTGCAGTGGGGTGGCCCCTCCCTGCTGCTGTTCGCTTAGCAACAGAAGCTGAAATGGAAGCTAAGGCGACGGTGAGGCAGCTGCCAGGGGAGTTAACATTAGAAAGGGAAGCAGGGCTGGTTCAAGCCGAAACTACCCGGGCTCTGTCAGCACACCTACGGAGTCTGACGGGAGGACAGTGGCCTTAGCCTGCCGCCTCGCCAGGATGAAAGGGCAACAGCTGCCCCAGGCAAAGGTGAGAGCTCTCGTGACACAACGAGATTGGAGCCCAGAACAATGGGACTCGTGAGATTCAAGCAGTGACGGTGAGGAGCTGCTGGCTGGGATGGACCCTTGGAGGTCCCGTACTGGCCCCACACTCGTCCTAACCTGACAGTTAAAGTCTGACCAGCCCCCGCTCGTGGGGTAGATGCCCTGGACCTGCCTCTGCCTGTCTGGCGTGTGCATTCCCCCACGAGGGACTGAACCGCCACAGAACTGCTGGAACCGGGGAACAAATTCAGACAGAAGGAGAGACAAAGCGTCCCTGGCTGGTTTCTGCACCTCTGGGTCGCCGGTGCAAAAGGCATTTTGTCATCGGGGGTGGAGATGAGCAAAATGGCTTCTGTCACCTCCCACCCTGACCTGCGGCAATGCCCTTAAGCCTCGGTAAATGAGCACGGGGCCGTCTCTCTCTTGACCTGGCCAGTCACTGCCTGCAGGGGTGCCTGGCCCAACGAGAGGAACATGCCCGTGCCCCGTCCCTGTGGGCAGACCATGGAACCAGCACAGGAACCATGAGGGAAGTGGGAATTAAACATGCTGTTTATGCCGAATATGTCCGAGGGGCTGACAATGAGATTTTTACAGCAGGCACAAAAGACACTGTGCTGCACACAGCACCTGACCAATGTATGGGCCTTGGTTTCTATGCTCAGTCCTTTGTGGGTCAACCTGTGTCCAGGTGGCCCAAGCTGCAGCCGACCTGGGAGAAACAGACAAAATCAGAAAGAAGAAGGTAAGCACTACCAGGGTTCCCGGAGGGAAGGAAGATAAAGGGGGCAAAGTGCAAAGGGTCCAGTTAGGGTGACTCACAGGCAGATGTGGCAAGACTTGGTGGCCATGGGCGCCCCTCTGGAGAAAATAGATAAGCAGCCAAATCCTGTCTTGGTGGCACTGTGGCAGAAATTAGGGCCAAAATAGAGGTTCACCAAGCCACCCTCTGGGGAAGTTTCTGGGCTGCCCACTCCATGGCAGCCCCTGTGACAACATGGGAACATCCCAGCCCCCTTGACCAGGGAACAAGCCAAGGGACCCCGACTCATCCCTGTAACCGTGTGCATGTAGCACGAGTTTCGAGGGAGTGGAGGCCACATGTAGAGCTGACAATTTATTGGTCTGCCAACAATAAACAGACTGTTTTAGCCTTAGTAGACACAGGAGCAGAATGTGCTTTTGTTGATGGCAATCTATCCCATTTTGATGGCCCTATTTCTGTCATAGATGGTTATGGTGGGGGCACAGTCGAGGTGACACTGATGCTGCAGGTAGGGCGTCTCTTGCCAAGACGGTACATGGTTCGTATGGCCCCCACAGCGGAATACATCGGGCGTGGATGTCCTCGCTGGCCTGACTCTTCAGACTACTGCTGCAGAATCCCGCCTCTGGGTCCGCACGATTAAAAGCTGTAATAAGGGGCTGTGCCAGGTGGACTCTAGTGAGGTTGCCCCAACTGCATCGTGTGGGACGATAAAGTAGCATCATCTACAGGGGCATAAGACGAAATCACAGGAACCGTACGGGAGTTGGCAAAGGTAGGAACCGTTAGACCCAGACACAGCCCATTCAGTAGCCCAGTGTGGCCTGTGTGGAGGCCAGACAGGTCCTGGCGACTGACTGTGGGCTCTAGGGAACTGAACAAAGTGACACGGCCTGTGTCTGCTGCTGTCCCCAGATAGCCTCCCTCCTAGAGCACAGAGGGCACACCCTGGACCCATCATTTTGTCCTGGACCCTGCTGGTGCCTTTTTCAGCATCCCCTGGAGGAAGGTAGCCAGGACCACCTTGCCTCCACCTGGGAGGGCACACGAGGGACTTTCACTGCTCTGCCTCAAGGGTGTCTCCACAGCCCCACAATTTGTCATGGTCTCGTGGCTGCTGACCTGGCTCAATGGACAAAACCCCCTGATGTCGCCTGGTTTCATTATGTTTTGGATGCCATGCTGGCCTCTGAGTCTTTTGCAGACCTCCGGGAAGCCTCCCGCTCCCTCGCCGCCCACCTAAGCCAGTGAGGACGGGTTGGGGAGGACAACAAAGTGCAAAGGCCTGGACTGTCTGTCCAGAACCTGCGTGTTGTCTGGTCGGGGAGACAAAAGTGGCTCCTGCTGCTGTTGTAGGTAAGATACAGGTCTCCCCACCATCCAACACCCCGAAACAACCGCAGAGCTTTCTGGGCTTAGGAGGTCATGCCTCATCCAGCCCAACTGCTTCGCCCCCCTCATAAGTCGGTGTGGAAGGGGCCATCTGGGTCTGGGGGACCACCGAGCAGGAGGCCTTCGCCCAGGCCAAAGTAGCAGTGAGACAAATCCTGTCCGTGGGTGTTTCAACACAAGGACAGCCATGTGAATTGGATGTTTCCAGTCACCTAGAGGGGTTCAGATGGGGTCTCTGGCAGAGGCAAGGCAACAAACGGGTGCCCCTTGGCTCTGGTCCCAGTGTGGAAAGGGGCTGACACCTGGTACAGCGCCTGGGACAGCTGTGTGCAGCTTACCCAGCCCTCCAGCAGGTGGAGCCCACAACCCGTGCCCTGCCGGTCACTGTCCACACTCATCTGCCCATTGCGGGGTGGCTGCGGGCCACTTTCCAGAAGCCTCACTCGGAATAGCCCAAACACGGACACTAACAAAGTGGCATGCTTACAACAACGAGGGACCCTGGCCAGTCGTCCCCTCTGCAGAACTGCATGACATTCTCGGGCCAGGAACATACACCGGAGGAAACAACCCCGTCAGACGGGGTGTCCGTGCCTGAAACCCTGCCCAACGTACAAGGCCAATCCCGGCAGAGGCCTCATAGACGGATGGCTCCACAAGGGGTGACCATCAGCCACGTGGACAGCAGGGGCCGGCTAGCCTTCGACCAACAGCATGTGGTTGGACTCTGGCTCTGGAAACAGTGGTCAACAGGCTGAATTGTGGGCTGCCTGGATGGTGTTGACCTGTGAGTCCCATCCAATGTGCCTCTGTACGGACAGTCAGGCGGTCTTTAAGGGCTCACCCTGCAGATGGCCCAGTGGGCATGACAACAGTGGACTGTTAATGGTCGCCCATTGCGTGGGCTAGAGCTCTGGGGTGATATCTGGCAGCGGGTTCGGGGAATGACGATAACAGTGTACCACGTGTCTGCACATCAGCCAAAAATACTGCCAGGAAACCAACAGGTGGACGAGTTAGCTGAGATCCACCTCCTGGAAGAAGCATGAGCCGAGACAGTGGCAGAATGGCTACACAAGAAGTCTGGACATAAAGGACGAAGAACCCTCTGGGCTATTGCCAAGGCCTGGGGCCTCCTCCTGCGCTATGCGGACGTGGTGCAGGTCTGTCAGGAGTGCCCTTCCTGCTCCTTGCAGAGACCCCAGGCCATTCCCCAGGACACAGACCAAATAGCCAGAGGTAACCAGTCTGCCCAACACTGGCAGGTGGACTACATCCAGCCCTTGCCTCTCTCTGATGGATGTTGGTATGCCCTCACTTGTGTGAACACGTACACAGGACTGCTGCAGGCGTACCCCAGCAAGAGGGCCACACAGAAGACCACCATGAGAGGCCTGGGACACCTCTGTGCTGTATACGGTGTTCCCACCGACACTGACAGTGACTGAGGGACGCATTTTCCTAGCCACCCAGTACAGACGTGGGCTGATCAAATGGACGTACACTGGCATTTCCACCTGCCATACAACCCCACAGCCGCGGGACTAGTGGAACAAATGAAACAACTAAGGACAGAAGACAGGACCCTAGCTCATTGGATGAGACGCCTGACAACGGCAATAAGTCAACTGAATGAAAGTACATACCAGATGTTGACACGAGGACCTGACGTGACAGCACGTCTACAGACAAGAGCTCATTGAGGAGAGAAACGGTAACCACAGAGGGGCACTCAGAACAACTTACTACGGCCTCTGCCACGGGAACTCGCTGCCGGGACCCACGCGGTCACTTGGCCCTGGGACTGGCAGGTGGGGCCCTGCTGGTGTGGTCTCTTAGCCCCTTGGGGACAGGCTTAGAACAGGATATCACAGTGAGACACTTCATTGTGGGGGGGCCACCCAAAACCTCCAAACTTACCACTCCAGGGCCTCCGATTCCCCAAGGTACATTCATCCTTTGCCTCTGGTGTGTTCTTGCTCCTCCCTTATCCTTTTCCACTGCCCCTGCAGTGCCCACACCAACTGGACAAGCGGTGTGGTATTGTCAGCCTCGTCTGAAACCACAGGCCGGTATCACACTGACCCAAGACACTGCAACTACATACGTCCTGCTGGACGGTCATGACCTCCCTGTTCTGGTCCCCTCTAAACATCTTACTTTTGTCCTTAGGATGATGTCTGCCAACCTCTTCACTGCCCGGGCACACATCTTTGCTGACTTACAAAGTCCCTCCAGCGGCTGGTATGCAGCAAGCTCCCTCTCCTCAGCCACCGGGTCACCACGGCACCTCCAAGCAGCCCGCACCTCCCCCTGGAGAGCCCACGAGAGTGGAGGAATGCCGCCCACCTTCCCATTCCCACTCCTCTCCCGCCAAGCGACCTGTCCTCGCCCTCTTATGCCGCCTCTCGAAAGTATATCCTCCAGCTTGTGTGTGAGCAGGTTAGTACGACCCCAAGGGTGGGGTGCTCTGTTTCTGATGGCATAGGATGGTTAACTGCTGTGCAAATAGAATTAAGTGCTTCCTTTCCCTGGTGCATTGAACGTCACAACAACTCTGCACCGTCAAACGAAAGCATTTCAAAAAATGTGGGGTGGACACCTAAAGCAATGTGCAACCAAACAGTTATCATTCCTGCTGAAATGTGGCTGGGAAAACAAGGCAACACCATCAGAGGAGCCTATGTCTCTCCTCGGGGTGGCTGTGGGCTTGTGGCACCCGCGGCTGGCCCTGTCTGCCCTATAATTGGACGGGCAGATGCACATGGGGCGCCCCTACGACCCTGCACGCATCCTGTCTCCCTTCACAGCTTCCTTCTAACGGGGAGGCAGTCCGTGCACACCATCGTGTGCAACACACCGCAGAGTGGTTCTACCCCTCGCCATCCTCTCTCCACAGGCTGCAGTTGTGGATGCAGAACGGCAAGTGTCTGCCTTAGCCCAAAATATGGCAACAGCCCTCAATGACACTGGACATGCAGTAACTCTACTAAAGGAAGAAACCTCCCAGATGAGAGAAGCAGTGTTGCAAAAGAGATGGCCTTGGACATGCTTACTGCAGCCCGAGGGGGGACCTGTGCCCTGATCACAGTAGAATGTTGTGTATGTATCCCTGATTATGCCCACAATGTTTCCTGCGCAATGGCCTCCTTACTGGTCACATACGGGTCACTGACAACCTGTCCACCGACCCAGCATCCACTTGGACACAATCCCTCCCCTCCAGCTGGTGACATGTTTTCATTGGTATTCTTGCCTTTTTACCGCTTCTTTTATTTTCATGTTGTGCTCTCTGTTGCTGTTGTGGACTCTGCCTACAGTGCTCCTCTCTGTGTCTGACTTGAGGGAAACCACAGAAGACTGGCACAATGAGATTGTAAGGGCCATCTGGACACGTGGGGGATGGAGCGTAGGGGCACTAGCTGGCGTGCCCCTTTAAAAACCATGTGTCCATGAGGCTCCTATCTGGCCTATGTGCCAGCACTCACGATGACAACAGTCCTGGGCTTGGCCGACCCAGCGGCTTTCTCCTGTGATAGTTGGCACAGAGACCATCAAGGTCTGAAGGAAAGCAGAGGCCCTTTGGAGCAGGGGGCAGGGTGGGGGGCTCTGGTCCTCGGAATGCAGGATACAGGGACAATCCCCCTTGGCAAGCACGCAGCCTTTGCTCCTCTGCCTGCTTAAGCTGGCTTCTCTCTGCGGGGCGGTAGCGGGTGCACATTGCCTGTCCAGCCGGCTGCCACTGCACCTTCCCTATACATAAGCCCCAGTAAATCTATGCGTCTCGCCCGCTGTCTCCAGGTCATTTCCTCAGTCTCTCGGCACGATACGCCGCTACCCTAGCCCAGCTGGTGGTGCAGCCTTACCCACCCGCATCCTCACATCCATGCACCTGTAGGCTCACAGACATTCACACACACGCTCACACACATGCACCTGCAGGCTCACAGGCATTCACATACACGCTCACACACATGCACCTGCAGGCTCACAGGCATTCACATACATGCTCACACACATGCACGTGCAGGCTCACAGACATTCACACACACTCACACATGCACTGCAGGCTCACAGGCATTCACACACACTCACACATACATGCACCTGCAGACTCATAGGCATTCACACACATGCACCTGTAGGCTCACAGGTATTCACACACACACTCACACACATGCACCTGCAGGCTCACAGGCATTCACACACACGCTCACACACACATTCACACACATGCACCTGCAGACTCACAGGCATTCACACACACGCTCACAGGCATTCGCGCACACACACTCACAGGAATTCGCACACACCAGCTCCCAGCCCCAGGGCATGAATGAGCTCTTGACTCTGGACTACAGGGTGAGGGCTTTGGAGCTCCCCAGGTGACCTCTGCTGCCCGCTGCTCTGTCCTTGGTCCGCCAGCTCTCTTAGGCATCACTGGAACTTGGGCCCCTTCACAGAAGGCTACTGTCTGTACAGAGCCCCTGGGGGTCCACGCCCTGCCCCTGACCAATCCAGTGCTCTCGAATCTCTCTCATTGACTCACCCCTCCAACCACCCTGTCTCCTTCCAGCTTCTCAAATGTGCTGGGTTCTCAGGGCCTCAGGGCCTTTGCACTAGCCATGGCGACCCTGCATTACCCCTGCATGGAACTCCACCTTCTGAAACTGTCCTGTTTAAGACTGTGCTTGTTTTCTGCTCATCTCCCTTCAGTAGGAGGGAGCCCCTGCATGTGTTCACGTGCTCTCCCAGCACACAGCTGGTCTCAATCAGTGTGAAATGGGGATCACAGGAGCACTGGCAGGCAACGAGTGTTCCTCTTGCTGGACCCACCCCACCCAGAGCTCAGAGGAACCACCTCAGGTCGCCATGGACATGCCCTTGCCAGGCTTCCCCTTGTGGTCCAAGCTTCCTGGGCAGACCCTCAGGGCTGGCCACCGCCTCCGGGAGCCGCCTAGCCAGTACCAGGCAGCTGTGAGGATGCAGGGAGCAAACGCCTTGGCCCACGCCCTGGGCGGACCTGGCACAATGGCCTTTGGGCTCCCTCCAACTGGGTCACACAGCTGGTTTGGGTTGTTTGGAAGGTGAGTGAAGCTTCCCTCCCCAAAAGTCCCACTCCTGCCTCAGTCTCCCCTGCGTACCTCATCTCTGTCAGCCAGCCACCCGGAAGCCCACTGCCAACCCTTCTGTCCTCTCTGGGTCTTGGCACCCTGGTGGAGCCCAGGGAAGAAGCCACATGCCTCAACAGCCCCCAATCCCCATATGTCACTCAGCAAAAGCCCAGTTAGCGCTCCCAGGGGTCCAGTCCTGACTGGGGGACACAGGGAGATGGAGCTATGGGTCCCTACCCTCATTGGCCTCCCAGGGGCCAGCCCAGCACACCTGCCCTGCCCTAAGCACCGCCACAGCGGCACAGAGCTCTGTCCCATGGTCACCCTGCCCAGAGCTCTCCAGGGGCCGCAGGGCCCAGGGAGTGGGGGCACCTTGGAGTGAGCCACGAGGGCCACAGGGACACTCACGGCTCAGATTCCACGGTCTCCTTCTCGGCCAGGTAGTTGTGGGGCACGTAGCCCTCGGCCAGGGCCATGCCCGCCTCGTCCAGCAGTGTGGCCCACCACCACTCCTCCTCCTTCCTGGCCACGTGGAAGAGGTCCCCTGCCCGGAAGCTCAGCTCCTCCTCTGTCCGGGCCTCGAAGTCCCAGAGGCCCACGTACTTGGGTCCCAGGTGTGCCTGGCCCCAGGACGCCATGGTGGGTGCAGTGGCAGGACCTGGTCACCTGGCCTCACCACCTGTCACTGTGCCGGCTGCCGGCACCACTGGCTGGGAGTGACGGGCCATCCCCACCCAGCCAAGGAGCCAGCCCACTTCCCTGTGACAAGGCAGCCAAGCCAGGTCGGCCACACCCATGCCCCGGGGCTGGCCTCTCCAGGGCTTCCCCAGGCACCCTAGCTCCACCCTAAGGGCCCCACAGCCCCACCTGTCCTCCTACCCACCATGTCCAGGTCAGTCTTGGCACTGCTGTTGCACATATGCTGTGGGAAACCTGCTCACCAACCAGCCACTAAGCTGCCCCTGGCCACACGGCTGGACCTGAGGCCAGGGGGAAGGAGGGCGGAGTAAGTGCTGGGACTGGTGGGCACTCAGGTGAAAATGGAACCCAGGCGGGGTGCATCTTGGAGCTGGAGGGCGAGGGGAGAGACAAGGCCCTTCCCAAACATCCCAGGGCTGCTGGGCCTGATCCAGACAGAGGACAGCAAGCTCCCAGCAATCACTGCCAGAAGCCCCCCAAGGAGCGCCGCCTCCCTTCCCATCCCCGAAGGTTCTCCCGGCGTCCTGGCTGCCTCTCCCTCCCCCACGGAGCCCACCCCACTCGCAGCTGTCCTGTGCACCAGCCTCTGGAGGAGAGGGCGTGCAGAGACCCTGCCCCCAGGTGGGAGGGCCGTGAGGACAAATGGCCAGGGGAGCATCACCTATGAAACCTACATGTTGGCACCTTCCCTTTGACTGAAAAGACAGCAGTGGCGCCACTCACTCCATTCGAGGCTAAGGACAGGAATTACTATTTAAGGACAGTGTGTCATTTAACAAGTTCATGCACATACTATGAGCTGGGCAGCCCAGCTCAGTTCTGCCCCAGGTGGCGAAGGGGCAGCAGAGGGAGGTGCAGGGAGGGCTTAGAGGGGGCGGACAGACAGCTGGGCCCTGTGTCGGGGCCCAGGGGGCTCCCAGGTGCCCCCCGGCTGCTGCGTGCCTGCCCTCACCGCTCAGCAACATGCTCCAGTCCCCTCAGCCCTCGGGCTGGCCCAGGAGCCCATGTCCAGGGGGCCGAGGCGTGTCGCTGGGCGCAGATGTGCCCCAACTCTGCCTGAGCTGCACCAGGAAGCAGGAGAGCGTCAGGACCGAAAGTCCCCGGCCCCTCCCGGAGGCCAGAGCACCAAACCTGCTCAGCCTGTGGCTGACGAGACACCCCAGGAATGAGCCAGTGACCCCCACGCACACCGCCTCTCCAGCTGGTCCGCGCCCAGCACATCCCCTCCCTGGAGGCGCCCGCCCAGCCCATCACTCCGCACTGCAGCTGCAGGAAGCAGAGGCCAGCCCTTCGCGGAGGCTGGAGCCCCTTGGTCCCACACCGCTGCTCACGTGTCGAGGAAACGCCTAGAACCGAGGAGCTCAGCTCCAGCCCTCATACTCTCAGCCACCAGCCAGAGCTGGCCCTCAGCTGTCCTGGGACAGGATGGAAGGGGTCAAGGGCCACAGGCCAGGGCATGGCTTCAGCTAAGCTGCCGGGGTCCCAAAAGTCTCAGGCTCAATTCTCCTGGTCTGACCATCTGCCCCAGTCACAGCAGTTCCGGCCCGACGCCCAGGGCTCCTAGGGGCTCTGCCCTCTCCCCACTCGACCCTGACCCACAGCCAGGGTCATGGGGGCCCTGAAGTGGCCTCACCCGTGGGTGCCGTCCCCACCTGTGGTTCCCCCATTGCCCTCCCCTCTGGGAACATCCCCCACTGTTCTCGGAGCATCTAAGTGGCCCCTGGGTGGGTCACTTATCTCTCGAGGGTCCCAGCTCCCTCCAGTGCCAGCCCATGGGCGGGGCCTGTGGTCAGTGGTGAGGGGCTGACCGGCCTCTGACGGCCCAGAGCTGAGCCCAAACTGCACATGGTGCCTGTTCTCTCCAGGGAAAAGTGAGCTCAGTGAGGCCTTGCATGCTCTGCCCCTCAATCCCCACAGGCCTTCTGGGGCACAGCTGCCAGCGTGGGGCTCCCAGGAGGGTGGTGGTCCGGGACCCTGAACACAGACCCCACCTGCCCAGTCCCCCGGCCCCTCCATTTGTCCATCTCGTGGTGACCAGAGCCAGGCAGGGTGAGCAACAACCAACAGCTCACGTCCTGCCCAACTCCTCATTTGGTGGTGTCAGCAGTGGCTTGAAATCCCCCCGGGGGGAGCAGTCACACCCCGGAAACCCCAAAAGCCACGCATCAAGGCTGCTTCCGTTTTCTCAAAGAGCTAGCTGTCACCCAGCTGCCCCCACCCGGCGGCCTCCACCCTGACCCCGCCTGCCTCTGCACAGCCCGGGCGGCTCCCGGACTGGCACCAGGAGACAAAGGCTCTGCCTCTCTGACCTCTGCCCCGTCCCCAAAGAACTGACCTCAAGGGTCACCCGACCCCAGAAACAGCCGCCTGGCCACCACTGACCTCCCTGCGGCCTGACCCAGGCCCCTCCTCCAGTCCCAGCGGTCGTCTCTGCTCCAGACCCCAGGGAGACAGAACTGGCTGTTCATGCCTGGGTCCTGCCCACGGCCCAGGGGTAGTGCTGCCTCTGGGTCCCTGCTCTGGACACCAAAATGCCCTGGGTGGGAACCTGGACCATATGAGGGTCGGCTGCCCCCCGCCAGGATAAGGCAGCTGGGGGGAGGGCCCCCAGATCAGCCCCAGCTTTTGCTCTCGTGCGGGTGGCTGCTGCCCATGAGTGAGCCAAGCCTGCATGCGTCTGAGTCAGTTGATAACATTTATTGAGTGTGGCCTTCCCACGTGCTGGGGTCTGCACACGGGGACCTGTGTGCCCGTGGGAGATGGTGGCCACGCCCCAGCATATGCCCAGTATGTGCCATGTGGGCCAGTGCCCAGGGCTGCCTGGGAGCCCAGCACCACTGCTGCAACAAGGCCATGGCAGGACTCTGGAGAAAACTGGGAAGCCCTGCCCCTCGTTCTTAACCCTGGGAGGGGTCAAGGGGGCACAGGGCAGCAGGCACGCGTGGAGGGGCCTCGGCCCAGGCCCAGGGCTTCTCCCGCCAGCATCTCCCTGAGGCCAAGGAAAATTTGGGCTCCACTTGGCCTTCTATACTGAAGTTGTCCCTCACCAGGGACAATGGTCACACTGCACAGAGGACATGAGCCTGTCCCCAGTCTGAGTGGGTGTCTGTGTGTCTGCCTCCTGTGCACATACATGTGCATGTCAGTGTTTGTGTCAGGGCGTGAGGCCACAGCCAGAGGCTCCACAGGCTGGCAATGGTTCCAGGCGGTCTGGCACCCCCGTACATGTTGACGGCAACCACCATGCAGGGGTACGCCCAACGGGAGCGAGGGGCCCGGCCGCAGCCTCAGCAGCCTGGGTGGTCACATGAGGGCAGGGTGGAGGCAACTGCAGATGGCACCCAGCTTCTCCTGCAGCACGGCGAAGGCCGGCCGCTCCTCGGGGCTGTCCTGCCAGCACTCCAGCATGAGCAAGTAGACCTCAGCCGGGCAAGCTGCTGGGCGCGGCAGGCGGTACCCTCGCATGATCTGCTGCAGCGTCTCGTGGTTGCTCATTCCTGGGAGCCGAGGAGAGGGGCTAGGCAGGGGCTGCCTTGCTTCTGCCCGGGGTCACCGTGGAGACCTCCCCCCAGCCCTTGGCCAGACCCTGTCAAGTGGGCAGCATTGAGGGTCAGCGACCTCCAGGGTGGGGTGTGCCTCCGCCCTCGGGCTGGACCCCTCGCTTCCTCCCTCACACTACCCCTTTCCAGGAGAGGCCTCACCTCCCCGCCAGGGCTGCCTCGTGACCCACCTTCATAGGGACACTGGCCATAGGAGAAGACCTCATAGAGCAGGACCCCGAAGGACCAGACGTCCGACTTCTGGGAGAAGATGCGATAGTTGGCCGCCTCGGGCGCCGTCCACTTGACAGGGATCTTGGAGCCGCTGCTCGGGGAGTAGATGTCGTCCTGGGTGAGGGGAGACAGGGGAGGGGTGGGCGGAGTGGCCCCTCCTCTCCCAGCCACTCTGCCACCCAGCAGGGGCAGCGACTCGCACTGACCTTGAGCAGCCGGGCCAGGCCAAAGTCGGCCACCTTGCAGGCCAGGTCATCGCCCACGAGCACGTTTCTGGCGGCCAGGTCCCGGTGCACGATGCGCCGTTCCTCCAGGTAGCTCATGCCCTCGGCCACCTGGCGGGCACAGCTCAGGAGCAGAGGCGGGCTCAGGGCCTGGCCCTCGGGACCTGAAGGGCAGGGCCGACAGTCAGGGGCAGGCGTCTGCACCCGTCACGTCCTTCTGTGCAAGCTGCTCCTTAACCTGCCCGGGCCTCCAGCAGGGACCAGGGACAGAGAACGGCCAAAGCAGAGAGGGGGCACGCCAGGCTGGGCTGGGTCCACGTTGACCTTGTTCGGGGACTGGGCCCTCCCCGCCCGCACTCTGCCCAGCCTGGAACCGCAGTGTTCTCACTGTCCCTCTGTAAGGCCCAGGCCCGGCCCAGACCCGGGACCCTGAACCTGCTGTTGACCAGAGCCCACCACAGCCCTCTGGGCCTGGACAGTCAAACGTCCAACCAAAAGGCCTGGTGCACCACTGCAGGTCCCTGCAGGGAAGGAAGCGGGTGCCACCGTCAACCGTGGGCCGGGTGGTTATGGCTGCGGCAGGGATGCAGGCCACCCCAGGCAGCCGGCAGGGGCGGACACTCACTGCCCAGGAAGGCCTGCAGGTTGCCCTTGCGCATGAGCTCGGTGACGATGTACACAGGCTCGCCAGTGGAGCACACGGCGTGCAGCCGGATGAGGCGCTCGTGCCTCAGGCTCTTGAGCGTCTGGATCTCCTTGGCGAGGTCAGCGAGCTTCATGTCGGCTGCGGGAGAGGGCACCGCTCCAGAGCCTGCCCATCGCCACCGTCCCCAGGGCTTCTGGGGTCAGAGGGTGGGACCAGCAGGGGTGGGCGGGCCCTCACCCACCTGATCTGATGACCTTGACCGCCACTGGCACGGAGCCACGCCACACACCTTCCCACACTTCCCCGAAGTAGCCCTCGCCCAGCCTCCTCCTCAGGGTGAACTCGGAGTGCGGCCGCTCCCACTCGTCCTGCCTGGGGGGCTGCTGCAGGGGTGGGGGCACTCAGCGCCTCTGCCTCTGCCTGCTGCTCCCCCGGCAGAGCAGGCAGTGTCTCCTGGGGGCACCAGGCCACTGGCACCTCCGCCCCCACCACAGGCTCAACGCCGGCCCTGGCCGGGTGCCGACTGCCAGAGGCCTGGCCCCACCTGCTTCCGGGCCAAGTGGCACCTTTGCTGGAGGTGGACATCCGCCCACAAACACTCGTTACTGCCCCTTCCTGGCTGTCATTAAGAGACCAGAGGAACCAGATGGCTATCCCGGCCCCTCGACAGCACTGCTCCTCAGGGACAGTCGTGGGAATACTGCAGCTCCAGCCCAGGTGCGGCATCGTCCTGATCAGCGTCTCCTCCCACAGCTTCCACCCTGGGGCCCGGGGCTGCTGTGGGCACCTTCCCCAGACACCTCCCCAAACTCGCCCCTGCTCTTCTTGCTGCTCCCCTGCAGAGGTGGACATGGAGAGGGAGGGCATACCACAAGTCCCATCTCCCTCCACCCTCGGATCCCCAGAGAGCACACCCAACCCTGGGACAGGGCCCCCAACCGGAGTGCGGAGGATTTGCTGGGACACCGGGTGCTCCCAGGCCTTATCAGACCCCGCAGCAGCACCCAGAGTCAGGCCCAGGCCGGCTGCCCTGCTCACCCCCCTGGATGCATGTTGGGCAGTGTCTGAGGCCTGGTGAGGGGCAGCCTGGCAGGTGGCAGGGGCAGGGCTGGGCCCACCTGGGGCACGCAGGGCTGCAGCAGCGGGTTCTGGATCAGCTTCCAGTTGGCCTTGTAGTAGGTGAGCAGCTCCTCCAGGCTGGAGAAAAGCCGGCCCTTCTGCAGGTAGAGGCCGCCGTCAGCTGCCGTCGAGATGCGGTAGTGGCGGACTTTGGCCTGAGCCCTGACTGGGAGGGCACAGAGATGGAGGCCGTGTCTTGGCTGCAGCCTGACCCGGATCCTCCCGCCATCCCAGCCAGATGAGCCCTACAACGTTCCGGGGGGCCTGGCTCAGATCTGGCCTTGTGGGCCCTGAGATGACCAGAGCTGCGTGGAGAAGGAGGGAGCGTGGGCAGTGCAGGCCAGAGGGGTAGTGAGAGGGGCCCTGGGAGGCTCTGCCAACAGTGAGCACAGAGCACAGAGTAGGCACTCAACGGATTCTTGGTGAATTAACTAGTCGGTGACTAAGTGAATGAAACAAGGGGGGACTGCGAAAGAGTGAGTGAGTGAGCGAGTGAACATGTGTATGAGGGAACAAGTGAGAGAGTTAGTGAGTAAACACGTGGATGAGGGAATGAGTGAGCGAGTCAGTGAACCCATAGATGAGTGAATGAGTGAATGAGTGAATAAATGAGTGAGTGAGTGAGAGAGCAAACTGGGGGAGACCAGCGTGGGTGCCATCAGGCCCGAGGTAGGGCCGGGCATGCGGGGGCTGGACTACCTGGGGAGCCACCACCCCCGGGTCAAGGGTATTCCGGCCTGGCGGGGGCTGGGCAAGGTGCCTCCTGTGGGGACGGGGGTGCGAGGGCCACCCCCATACCTGACAGCGAGTAGTCCCCGTGGCTGCTCTCGCTGGGCCGAACCAGGAAGGCCCCTGGTGCGTTGGCCGGGGACAGGAGCAGCTGCTGGGCCTCGGTTCGGCTGATGCCACTGAAGTACCAGCTGCAAGGGACAGGCGTGGCGGTCACCACACAGGCCCAGCCCTGAGTGACCACTGCCCCCACACCGGTCAGGGGTCCCAGAGGCCTGCTCCATGCAGGCAGCAGGGCGGAGCCCCAACTGTCTCACTGTCTCTCAGAGAGAAGGGGCACCAGGTGCCTGATGCTGGGATCGCAGTCCAGGATCTGGACCTGCCCCAGCCTCCAGTGCTCACTCTGGGGTCATCGGGACTGAACAGAAGGACTGCGTGGGCTGACACCGAGCTGACAGCCACCAGCAGTGACCTGCGTCAGGTGAGACTGTCCACTCTCCTCAGCCATGGGCTCTCCATTAGCCCTGCTCATAAAGTGACCACCAGCCCTGGCCATGAACTAACAATTAGCCCTGGCCACAGGCAGAACCCTCCGAAGTCCAGCCTGCTGAGCCCCTGCAGGGGCAGGGGGCCCATGGGAATCAGGGCCTGACAAGCTGCCCAGGAGTGCCAGCTGGTATGGCACGGAGGACCACAGGTGCCACCTGGCTGGGTGGGACCACATGCCTTGGGAGGTCAGCAAGAAGAAGTGAGAGAAACAGGCTTCGGTCCCCAAGAGGCCGGGACGGCCCCAGAGGAAGTGGCCTGAGCGGGGTGGGCAGGAGAGGCTGGGGACACTGGGGGAGGCTCAAGACCTGCCCAGCACAGGCCGGCCCAAGCCCCTGGCCCTCTGTCCATATAGAGACGCTCCCCTCATGATGCCAAGCAGGCTGAGACCGCTCTAGGTGCCTGCTCCTTGGTCCACGTGGGACTCCCAGAGACCAGGAGCCCTCAATCCCGAGTGTGGTGCCAGGCAAGGAAGGGGCCCGTCTGGGGCTCCCCCACTAGACACCCCACTGGGGCTGGCAGCCCACCTGAGTCATGCCAGGTGCGGCTCCCTGGCTGCACATTCTTGGAAGGAAACAGAAAAGCCCCTGGCCCCACCCTATTGCCTGTGTCTGCTCCCCAAAGCCCAGGGAGGGGAACCCCACCCCTGAGTCAGCTTCCCACCCTGGAGGCTCCCACTTCCTGGAGCTTCCGGGGACCTGGTGACAGCAGGCCTGTCCCTCAAGGGGGAGCCACAGCAGCTCAGAGACAGTCCTGGGAGCACAGCCTCTCATCCACCCTGACGGGGCGAGCACAGGGATCTGGGGGCTGTGGGAGTTGGCTCTCAGAAGCCCAGGGGTGTGCAGCACCAGCAAGGATCCTAGAGGGCCCAAAGCACGACTCAAAGGGAGTCAACACAAGGCGGGGCCCCCAGAAAGACAGGTGGTGGGCAGCGCTGCACGGTGGGCAGGTGCTGCTGGAGCCTGGGGCACGGGCAGGGCTGGGCAGGAGGGAGAGACAGGCCTGAGCCTGGCACAAAGACCTGTGCCCACCCTGGGAGCTGCGAGGAGGGACCAGGAACCAACATGGCCAGAGCCAGGGTGGGCCGGGCTGGGGCTGGAGGGAGCAAGGAGCCGGAGACAGGCAGGGGGTGGTGATGGGGGTGGAGGCAGAGGCCTGAGAAACGTCAGGAGGTGAAACCCGCAGGCCCGGCGGGGCAGGGTCAAGGACGTGTGGACGTGGGCCCCCTGAGATGAGATCAGGTTGGCCAGCAGGCTGGGGGGCAATGAGCTTGTTGTGGTGACACATTGATTTGGCAGCAGGAGGCGGGCAGGCTCCGCCCACGGAGGGCCCCCTGAGCTCTCACCTGTGAAGGGGCTACAGGGGACCCTCCCAGGGCAGCAGGGCTGTGTGGGAGGAGGAGAAGCAGAGGCTCCCCAGCCCCGACCCTCCCCTGGAGTTCCACATCAGGCCCGGAGGGCTGTGCCCTGTGCACATCCTGGGCCTCAGGGTCTCTCCCTGGGCCACGGTGCAGTGGACAAGATAAGGATCGAGGGGGCAGTTTGTGAACAGAGGCCTCACGGTCGAGGTTGAGGGGCCTCTCCCCGCGCCGCCCGCTGGTCTGGCCCCAGGGACAGGCGGCCAGGTGTCTAGGGCTAATGACACCTTGAGAGTGGTCAGCCCTTTCATCTCCAGCCCAGGCAAACAATCATTAGCTCTTCCTCCCAGCAGCGCCTCCTCCCCCACGAGCCCCACCAGCCGCCTCCAGAAGCTGCTCACAGGGTCTGTCCTCCACACCTGGGGCGACTGTGGGACCCCCTCCCCATCACAATGGCTGCTCAGTCCCACCCATTTCTCCTGGCAGGCTAGGCATTGAGTGGGGGCCCGGAGTACCCTTGGAAGACGTCTTCCTGTGGCTCAGGCTTCCCCCACCACATGCAAATCCCCCAAGAGACCCTGGAAGTGCCAAGGGGCCCCCCGGAGGCTGGAGGTGGCCTAGGTGAAGCTGAGACCTGATGCTGGTCTGCAGTGGACACACCAGGGCTCAGGCCTGGCCAGGCTGGGTGCAGGACCAGGGGCCCGCACCAGGGTGACGTCTGGGCGGCTGGGCTGGGCAGCGGGGCCTGGCTTTGCTCAACCTGCTCACCAACCAGCTTCTGGCCTGTTCTCACCCAGCACACTGCCTCCGTGTACGCTGGGGCTAGTAGGCAGCGTCTCTGCCGAGGGTCCCCCACTGCCCCATCCATCTAGACATTGAAGATTGCAATGGTCACAACATCCTGGCTGGCCCACTGCATTCAGGGGAAAGACAAGTAGAGGCCACTCCAAGGTTTGAGGCAAAGGCTTGAAGCTTGCCCACCATGTCCAGCGCTGTATGGCAAGGCCCGGCTCGGAGCTGGCACAAAGCTGTGCCAGGAGGCTATCCTGTCCTGTGGACCCTGAGCCTGGGCCAAGAGGTCACCCCCTCCGAGGAGCCCTCTGGGAAAGCCCCCACCTGTCTTCCTTGCTGTGTGGTTGCAGACTGGCCTGCAAACAGCCAGGTGTCCCTGCCAGCCGCTCCCTGCCTGTGGACTGCCCCAGCCCTAGGAGCCTCGGGCACTCTGGGGGGAATGGGTGGGCTCCCCTCACCTATGTCCACTCCCCAAACAAGTCTCCTTGGGAGCAATCCCTAAGGCCAGGGCCCTGGCCCTGTCTGCCCCTTTCCCGGCCCAGTGCAGGGGAGACGGGGGCTAGTGACTGTGGACAGGAGGGAGGAGAGAGTGAACACAGCTATCTGATCCAGCTTATCAGCTCCCACCCCAGCCACCGCCTCGCCCCCCCACAGCACAAGGGACAACTGGATGGTCTCTCTGCTCTCTCATGTCCTCACTGGGAGCCCAGGAGAATAGGGGCTGTGTCTGTCCCACTTGGAACTGCATCCGGGACCCTAGCCCCCTGCCCTACAAGCAGTGACCACTCAGCAAACGGTGTGGAAGGGGAGACCCTCAGAACGTTTAACGCCAGGGCTGAGTGCCCATGTGAGAGCAGGAAGGCCGGGCGGGCGGGCAGCTTCCCAGAGTGACTGCCAGGCTGGGTGCCCGGCAGTGGCATCCATACACACCATCCCGCTGATTCCCCACTGGACCTGACTACTCCAGCCGGAGTCCCAGCCACTGTCTCTCTTAGCAGTATCAGAGCACAGCGACTACCGTCCTTGCACCACACCTGTGTGCCTGCTCAGGGCTGTGTGGCAGGGCCTGGGGGAGTGGCCATGGGATGAATGGACGCACGATTGAAGGATCCCGGACGGCCCATCCCCAGACTCAGTCCTGCGCTTACTCCTGACACCCCAGAGCGGGATGGTACTCACGGTTGGTCTGAGAGCGTCTCAGGGGTGGCCTTGGCCACGTAGGCGACGGGCACCAGCCCGGCGCTGGGTGGGCCCGAGAGCCTGCGCGCGAAGATGTAGTGGCCGTCCTCCTTGAGCGCGTAGAGCCGGTCCCCGCGGCGGACGCTCAGCTCGGCCGCGCACCGCGCCGTGAAGTCGTACAGCGCCCTGAAGAGCTGCGCGCGCGCCGGGGGGCTGCGGGGCTCCGCGGCGGGGGGCTCCGGCTCGGCGTCGGTGCCCGCGTCGGGGAACCGCGGCATGCTGTCGTCCGGCGCGCCCGCCGGCCAGATCTTGTCCCAGAAGAAGGACAGGAAGGTCAGCCGCTTCCTGAGAAAGGGCTCCATGCTCCCGGGGCGTCGGGCCGCGGGCCGCCGAGTGCATGGGGCCCTGCAGAGGAGGGACCGCAGCGCGGGGCTCCGACGTCCGACGCGGGAGAAACTGGAAGGGCCGGTGGGACGGCAAGCGGGAAGCCTCGCAGAGCGGCGTCCCTGCTGGCGGGTGTGGGGGGATCAGGCCACCGAACACGGGCAGGTGTGCAGGCCGGGCGGGGCGCGAGGTGGCCCTCCAGCCCACGGTCACACACAGCAGCTCCTCTCCTCGAGCTCCAGGGCGTCTTGTGGGCACCACTCGTCCAGACTGCTCAGGGCCGGGGGCGGGCCGGGGGCGGGTCGTGCTGGGCGGAGCCTCCGGACAGGGCAGCCCCCTCTCTCCGTCCCCACCCCCCACCTCCCGGCCCAGGGAGGGGCGACGGCCCGGCCCTACTGGGCGGCAAGGCCGACAAAGGGAGAAAGGGTGCCGCGCTAGCGCCCCACACGCCTGCCTGGCCCTGAGCCCCGCCTCGGAGAAGTGGGCGCCGTGACGGGCACAGCACTGTCACCTAGCAGTGAGCTGCACTTGTGTGGTAACTGCCTGCTTCTTTCAATGTTGGCTAAACCTGCCAACATCGTACAAACCCTGTGCAGGGCAGAGCCACACACGCCCAGCTGGCAGCCGCTGCAGCAAAGGCTCCAGGTGGGGCTTGGGTGGGGACAGCTGGGGCCACCTTGGCCTTCCACCACTGCCTGTGCGACTTCGGACACGTGAGGCAAGCTCTCTGTGCCCAAGTTTTACGTTAAGAGGGAAGCTGGTGGTAATTGCAGGGGACTCAGCGAGCACAGTGAGTGCTTGACAGATGCACAGATGATGAGTTGATACGACTTCTGGGCCACCTGGGCCTGGGGACGCCCAACAGCCACTGCAGGGAGGAGGCAGTGCTGACATCTCACTTCCAGCCCAGGGATATGAAGTGGGCGCCAGTGGCAGAGACTGGACGGCGGGTGAGTCCACCCTGGGCCTGCACCCCCTCCTCGTCCTCTCCCTGGACAGCACCAGGACCCCTGCACACTGAAGCAGCTAGCTGCCCAGGCTGCCTCTGCTTCTGGCTGGGTGGGGAGAGCAAACCCCAGCCAGCCTGGTCTCCGGCGGGCCCTGCGGTGGGGTCTGTGGGGCAGGGTCCCAGCCCGGGGCAGCCTGCAGGCTCTTTCTCTCCCAGCTGGCCTCCCCCATGCAGCCCCCCCAGCACCCGGTGGTCTTTACTGAGCCCACACCCTTTCACGACAGCTGCAGATCCTCCTTCCAAATCCCACGCTGGCTCAGGCCCACATGTTTGTGATCTGTGGTTGAACGGGCACCAGCAACAGGCGTGCTGACTGTCTGACCCCTGAGGAGCCACACGCCCATCTACCTCCCCTAGAGGTGCAGCAGGTCATTTCTCTCTGAAACGCACTCCGTTTGCTTCCTGGGGCACATGCCTGTGTGAGCGGCTTGTACAATTTACAAACTGTAGCATGGCAATGATACACATCTGGTATCTGGAGGGGGCCCGGGGTCCCAAAGGGCAGGCTCCCTGGAATTGAGACTCATCCTGTTGGCGGGGCAGTATAGAGAAGAAGACATTTACAAACACAACATTGAGGGGAGCCCCTGAGAGGGCCTGAGGCCTCCACCGAGCCACCCGTTCCTCCCGCGTGCATGCAAGTTTGGGTGTTTGCACGCCAGTTTCCTTACATCCTCGAAACCTGCTCTGCTTCTCCTCCTAGGAAGCCTGACCCCATGGCCGCAGGGAGGCCTCCTTGGATGGTGGGAGGGTCCCACTTGTGTGGACCACCCTCAGGGTCATGCACTCAGAGCACTGGACGCAGGCTCCTCCTGGACACTCCCAGTCCCTCACAGCCACAGGGTCTCTGCCTCTGGCACTCAGCACACTGCCTCTGGCGATCAGGGTGGGCGGGGAGGGACCCTGCCCCACAGAAAAGCCCAGAGAGTGGATCAGGGGACCAAGCACAGAGGGCTGCCCACTCTGCTGCTACAGATAGAGACCCATGGCTGGGCGGGGTCTTCCTCCTGCTCGGACGAGGAGACAGGGCTCTGTGCATCCCTGCTCCAGGTCAGAGCGGGGACATTTTCTAACACGACCTGCGCTGGGCGGTGGAGACCCAGCTCACAAAGAACGCCTAGCCCATCCCCTGGCGACCAGGACAGATGGTCTGAAGGAGGCCCTCTCCCCAAGACGGAGAGAGGTTCCTCCTCATGGGCCCGGTGCAGAGGCCTCTGCAGGGAGTACCCCACATCACCACCCCTCTGACTGGGCCCTCCACCCCACAAACCCCCAGATCACCTCTCCTCATTCACTTTTCCCCTCTGAACACCTGTCGTCCTTGCACCACTCACGGCCAGTGTTGGTGAACGGAGGCCGCAAGAGCTGGTTTTGTCCCTCCGGTTGTCGGCTCTCTGAGTCCCCAGCCCCTGCAGGCCCAGCTGCCTGCACTGTGATTTGTGTTCCCTGGACCTGCAGGTTCTGGCCCCCTCTGTCCCCTTCTTCACCTCAGCCACCTGATACACCAGCGTCCAGCCACCGGCCCCACCCCAGTCCCAAGGACGGCCCCTCCCCTGACTCTGCCACTCATCTCCCATTAGCCTCACCTCCTCCACCGGCCCTAACCACAGGGACTGTGCTGGGGGGGTGGGTAGGTGTGTGAGTGAGGGGGAGGACGCCCGGAGCAGGACAGCTCTGGCTGGGCTCTGTCAACTTAAGCAAATTTGCCTATTATTTTACCTCAGAACAAGTTTATTTGGTAATATCCAAAATAATTGCAACTCAGACCCTGCAAGCTATGGTGAACCACAGGCAAATCCAGAGAGCAAAGGAGGATCTCCTCTTACAGAGAAAAGGGAGAGAGGGAGGGGCTGTTCCAGAGGAAAGTCCATTGTGGGGAGAGGAACAGATTGGGGGGCAACGGCTTCTCACTGGCTGAGCTGCGGTGTCTCTCATTGGTTGGGCTGGGCATGTCTCATTGGCTGGGCTGTGGCGTTTCTCATTGGGTGAGCTTCGGTGTTTCTCATTGGCTGGGCTGTGGCATGTCTCATTGGCTGGGCTGTGGCATTTCTCATTGGCTGGGATGTGGCGTTTCTCATTGGGTGAGCTTCGGTGTTTCTCATTGGCTGGGCTGTTGCCGGGTCGGGAGAGAAATCTTCTGCAGCAGTGAGGTAGCTGTGCTTCTTGTCCAGGTGCAAGTCCGTCTCCTGTCTGGAGTGATAGGCGGTGTGTGATGGGCCAGGGCTCCTCGGCAGGCCCTCCCCACTCCGATTTAGTTGAGGTTTCTTCTATTAATTTCCACAGTTCAGATGATGGAGTTGGAATCGTGCTCGCAGACTCTTGGCCGTATGACCTTGGGCAAGGTGCTGAACCTCTCTGCCTTGATTTCCCGTCTGTAAGAGCACTGAGCCTGCAGTGGCCGAGGGAGGATTCAGACCCTGTCGGCTGGGGTGAGGAGGGGCTTCCCAGGCATCCAGGCTGAGGCTGGCAGCCCAGCATCACCACCCTGTGGGCTCAATGAGAGGGCTCATCCCTCTGGGGGCCTCTCTGGTCGAGGGAACCCCCCTGACCCAGGGCTGTGACCCCACAACCAGCAGGCTCGCCACCCTCACGGCCCAGGGTTGCTCCGTCCACCAAGGGATAGCACAGCCTGGTGGCTGCAGGTCATTTCTCTCAGGGTCAGGCAAGACAGAATATAGGCCAGTCTGCACCTGGGAACACCCCAGCAACGTGTTAGGACTAAGAAAGGAAACCTCAACTGGGATTGGAGTCGGGAAGGCCTGTAGGGGAGCTCTGACGCCCTGCCACTCCTCAGTCAATTACTACAACAGTAAGATGCCAATTACAGACCCCGACAGGAAGAGAGTACCTTGCAGTCCCAAATAGGAAGTGCTCCAGCAGGAGGAAGAAGACTTCCTTTTTCCCCAGCAACAAGCCCAGCCAATGAGAAGCCGCTGAGCTGTTGTGACCTGCACTTTTACTTTCCTCCAATGAGCTTTCATTTTTTCCTTGCTGCTGACTTCCTTTCCTTGTCCCGCCCTCCTTACTAGAGAAGCTTTCCATGTTGTGTAACCCCTGAGCATCTCCCTGATTGCAAGATGAGATGCTGTCCGATTCATAAAGCTGACTGAATCTTTGAATTTACCCCACTGGATTTTGTCTTTTAACAGATGAAAGACTAGCAGTGCACAGCCCAAGACTGAAGGAGCCAGTCCCCAAAGGCTGCACCCATATGGCTCCGTTTACACAAGATTCTTGAAAGGGCACAATTAGAGTTGGAGGAGAGATTAGCGGTTACCAGTAGCTAAGGAGAGTCTGGGGGTGGGAGGGAAGTGTGCGTGGCTAGGAAAGGCAATGTGGTGGTCCTGTGGGGATGTGTGGATGTCACTATCCTGGTGAGATCCTGTCCACAGTTCTGCAAGGTGTTTCCACTGGGGGAAACCGGTCAAAGGGCACACAGGATCTCTGTGTTATTTCTTACAACCGCATGTGAATCTACAATTATCTGAAAATTAAAAGTTTAATTTAAAAAATTGGCTGAAGGACAAGAAATAGAAAAAAGAGGGTGGGGCCAGAGATGGCAGAGGTTTAGGACACACTTGGATCAGAAGAGGAGGGGAGGGCTGCTCTGCCCCACTCCCTCTCTGGGTGGGCTGCAGGGCTGGGGTCTGCCTCCCCCTGCTTTCCATCTCCTCCCCCCTTTCCAGGTGCCAGGCTCCCCCCTCGACCTTCAGACAGCACCCTCCTTTCCAAATAACCCGACTCTTGTCCCTCAGACCCCTAAGTAACAGCACTGACAAAGCCATCACTGAGTTAGAGCCCAAGGCGGGGAGAGGAGAGAGGACAGCGCCTCCGGGGCCTCCCCTCCCAGGCCTGGACCTGAGGATAGGCTGATGGGCACCTAGCCAGGGGAAGCCTTCTCCCAAGATTGGGGTCACCAGAGGAGTGGGGGTGCCATGGGGGAAGGCCCTGGCTACAAAAAAGACTGGGAGGGAAGCTCAGTGACAGACACCTTGTCCTGGAAGGGGCCCCACCACTGACCTCGGAGGGGGTGGACACAAGGATGGCAAGGGGCCTCCCTGCCTCCTCCACCCTCCCCAAGGTGGAGCAAGGAGCACTTTGGGATGTCGGATATTGACGTTCTGGTGGGAGACCCCAGGCTGGCTGAGAGATCCCTGAGGTCCCAGTTGGAGGTTACCGGTGGGGTTCAAGGGGCTGGGAACTCCTCTGAGGGGCTCCCTGGAGCTGTGTAGACCTCATTTGTCCAGAGCCAGATTAGGGGCATCTGCCTGGGCAGGCCGAAGGTAGGACAGCAAACCTGCTGGGCAGAAGCCGCGGCTTCTCTCCCGGCTCTGCCGCTTTGTCTGCTCTCTGGAGCGACCAGCCCCGCCTACCTGCCTGTTCACGTGGTCGCCACCTCTCCCCAGGTCCTCCGGGGGGTCCAGGGGCGGCGCTGGGGCAGGGGGTGGAGCAGGAGCCCCCTTCCCGGTAACCTACCCCGGAAGCCCCCGAGAGGAAGCGCTGTGGCGCAGAACGACCCCGGGACAGGGTCCCCCGCGCCGAGGGGCGGCAGCCTGCCTACTCCTCTCGGTGGAAACCTACTTTGAGCCTGGCTTTCGGACCAAGCCACGTGCGGTGGTTCGCAGGTCGGGGCGCCGGGCGAAGCCTCCGGACGGCTCCGTCCAAGCTGAGCCCGGGGTTCGGGGTCCAGGGCTGGAGATGCGGCTGAGACGAGCGGTTCTTTCCGGCGGGATCCAGGGACCAGAGTGCGCGCCCGCGCCGTCTTCCTGCAGCCCCTCCAGTCGAGGGGGCCCGACGGGCGGGGTCTCCCCGCATTCTCACGCCCGGGGCTCCCCGCCCCACCCCCGGGCCCCGCGGGGCGTCACAAAGGCCCGCGGTCCCCACAGCAACTCGGGGACGCCGCGGCGCAAGTCTGGGCGCCCTTGGCTCTGCGCACAGTCGGCCGCACGGCGCCGCCCGCTCCCGGAGGCCGGGCAAGTGCGCGAGGGAGGCCGGGCGCGGCGGGGAGGCGGGCGCGGAGGGCACGAGTCTCGGGGAGGTGGGCCTGGGGGAGAGGGGTGTGTAGGCGGGGTCGGGAGGGCCCGGGAGGGTGTAGGCCTGGGTAGGGCGGCCCCTTCCCCCCCCCCCCCCCCCCCCCCCCCCCCCCCCCCCCCCCCCCCCCCCCCCCGAGTTCACGACCCGCCCCCCTGCCGGTTTCCAACTTGGGAGACGGCGGCTGGGAACATCCCTGAGGCGTAGCCGGACCCAGGAGTAAGAGTTCTGTCCAGAGGCGGTTAGGCTCCGCCCCAGCCTCTGGCCAGAGAGAGACTTAGGCCAGGAGTCCTGGGGTGTCTGCTTCCACCTTGCCCCATACCCTCCCTGCTGTGCTCAGGGCCTGGTCTGGCTCCTTTGGCCCAGGAAGGTCAAGGGCTGGCCTTTGGGGAGGGAGGTCGACTTGTTCCAGCCTTACTCTGCCACCTGGGGGTGCAGCCTTGGACAAGTCACTCAACCTGTCAGCTCTCATCTGTGATTCTTCCAACCCCTGGGTTGCTGGGACAACCTGAGATGTCCCACATGAAGCCCCTGGCCCAGCAGCAGGGTCTGTCTCACCGTCTTATGGGGGACAGAGACCTGGGACGGCAGCCAGGGATGCTCGCCCCTTTTCCAGTCCTTGTGGCCTTGTGGCCTGCCTCAGCCCAGCCGGGGACCACAGTTGTGTCCAGCTGTGGACTGCACTGGCCCCCTCCCACTGACACCCAGAGCTGGGGATCCTGGGTCGGGAGGCAGGGTACAGAAGGAGAGTCAGGCTCTGGAGTCAACGGCCGGGCTCAAACCCTGGATTGAGAGCCAACTACACAGCGTTTTAGCCAGGTGCCCCATCTGTGAGACTGAGGGACGGGATCTTTCCCCTTCATGGGGCTTTTCTCATGGAGCCAGTGAGTTGAGCAAGGCACACTAGCCCCCGGCACACAGCGGGGCTCGGTAACTAGGAGCTAGCATGCTTATTCTTCAGAGCTGAGGCCTGGGACCACCCTGCCTTCTGCTCTGGCCTTGTCTTTGGGTGAGCCCTGCCCTCTGCTTTGCACCCGCAGTGAGGCGTGGAGGGTCTACGGCAGCAGGGTCCCCAAGGGGATCTAGTGCCACTCAGCAGGATCACACTGAATCCTCTCCACAGCCCCAAGGGAGTACCATCACCCCAATCAGACGAGGAACTGAGGCCTTTGCAGGCCACACAGCTGGTTGGTGGCTAGGGTTTCTTCCCAGGCTGTTCTGGTCCCAGAGCCACTGTCTCAGCCCTGCCTTGTATCATCATATCCCACAATTAGTAGAGTGTTTTCCCCTCAATGTCCACTTTTGTCCAGATCTTCAGCCTCTTCCCAGAGAGAGGTGTGCCCCCAACAAGCTCCTCCCCCTGCCCCCAGGAGGACAGAGGGCCCCGTAGAGGGGGCAGTGGGCCTGAAGTCACCCCCACACACGAACACTGCTACATGTGAGCCCCTGGGAGGGCAGCAGAGGCCAGCCTGACTGTTCCGGCTCACGCCCCGCCCTCCACCCCCATTTGCAGACAATGAGCTTCCAGGTGACAGGCCTAGGCCTGGACAAGATGAAGCTGGGCAGTCCCCAGTCCTTCCTGGACCAGGAGGAGGCGGAGGAGGCTGAGGATGGGCAGCTGCTGGAGCCGGAGGCTTGGAGGACCTACCTGGAGCACCGCAACGCGCTGCGTGAGTTCCTGAGCTCGGCCCTGAGCCCCCACCTGCTCAAGCGCCACCACGCCCGCATGGAGCTGCTCAAGAAGTGCTCCTACTACATCGAGATCCTCCCCAAGCACCTGGCCCTGGGCGACCAGAACCCGCTGGTGCTGCCCAGCACCATGTTCCAGCTCATCGACCCCTGGAAGTTCCAGCGCATGAAGAAGGTGGGCACAGCCCAGACCAAGATCCAGCTCCTGCTGCTGGGGGACCTGCTGGAGCAGCTGGACTGCGGCCGCGCCGAGCTAGATGCCCTGCTCGAGTCGCCCGACCCGCGGCCCTTCCTGGCAGGCTGGGGGCTCGTGGGGCAGCGGCTGGCAGAGCTGTCGGCCGTCATGGACAGCTTCCTGGCCATGATGGTGCCGGGGCGCCTGCACATCAAGCACCGCCTGGTGTCCGACGTTGGCGCCACCAAGATCCCGCACATCCGCCTCATGCTGAGCACTAAGATGCCCGTCATGTTCGACCGCAAGGAATCAGTGGCCCACCAGGACTGGGTCAGCCTGCGCTGGTTTGTCACCGTCCAGCCAGCGGCGCCCGAGCAGTTCGAGCTGCGCTTCAAGCTGCTGGACCCACGGACACAGCAGGAGTGCACGCAGTGTGGCATCATCCCTGTGGCCGCCTGCACCTTTGACATCCGCAACCTGCTGCCCAACCGCTCCTACAAGTTCACCGTCAAGAGAGCGGAGAGCTACACGCTGGTGCACGAGCCCTGGCGGGACAGCCTCACCCTGGAGACCCGGCCGCGGCCCCCCAAAGGGCCAGCCCCCAGTCGGCTGGGCAGGCCAGGCCCACCCCTGACCACACCTCCCGAGAGATGATTTCCTAATATTTATCCACTAATACAGAGGAGTATAAACTCACTTCCACAATTCAAGAAACAAACCTACTTCCGTTTTAAAGGTGGCAGCAGCCACACGAGTGCTTTTCCTGACTCAGCCCAGCCTCCACTCCCCGAGCACTGAGAACCAGCTTCCTGTCCACCACCACGCGCACACTGTGGCGGTCGCTAGGACCGCAGGCCCTCTGAGAAGACAAGGTGTGGCGGGCAGGGTTTTCGGGAGCTAGGAGAACTGACAGAGGTGGTCTAGTAAGAGAGAGAGGTCCCCAACTCTGTCAGAAAGGCCAAGCCCCCTCCCCCCAGCTATGGACAGTGTGCTTGGCAGTGTTGGGGTGGGCTCAGCCTGGGTGGAGGCCCCCTCCCAAGCCTCTCCAACCGCTGACCCGCTGTGTGCTCCTGTGTGCCATCAAGCCAAGACTGTCACACACTCTGTGGCACCATGTGGCTTGAGGGACTCTCTCCTGGATGTCTGGCAGGATGGAGTCACCCCAGACGCCCAGAGGTCCAGGGTAGAGTCATCATCTTGTTCAGGAATGACCAGAGGGGTGGGGTGGGTGCAGGGTAGAGAGGGCTGGGGAGGGGACCAGAGATTGGGGTTGGAGCTGGATCATACAGATCCCACCGACAGAGGGGGAGCGTGAAATCGGGGATCGCCGAGGGAGGCACATATGGGCACACGGGCTGGGGGACTTCCGTCCTGGCTCCTCCCGCCCCCAGCCCGGCCTCGGGGCCTCATCCGGAAGACACTGCGCAGAGGCCAGCCTCCCGGCAGCGCCGCCACTGCAAGTCCCCGGCTGTGAGCAGCTCCGCGGCGCCCTCCCGGTGCGGCCCCCGAGGCTGGGGCGCAGATCCGCCGCCTCCCGTCGCCCGCCCCCGCTCACCTGCCGCGCCCTGGCCCTCGCCCCGCCCCCGTTCACCTGCCTGCCCCGCCCCCTCGTGCACGGACTGGCTGAAAATCGCGCCCCTGGCTTGAAACCGTGACCCTGATTGCGGCGAGGCCGAGCCCTTTGCCAGCGGCCTGCCCTGCGCGCAGCTGCCCGACCGCCGTCCAGCCCCGCTGCCCGCCGGCGCGCGCCCTCGAGGCCTCAACGCCCCTTCCTCCCGGAAGCCCTTCCTGCCGGAAGCCCTTCCTGCCTCTCGGCGGATGCGGTCCTCATCTCCGTCTCGGCGTCGGCTAGTCTTCTGTTCAAGCGCTTTTCGCTAGATACGGTAAAATTTCTCCACGCTTTCGTGGCTGCCCGAGAACACACGTGCTCTCCCAGGTGGGGCCCACCTGCCTCACTCCACCGCCTCACAGTGAACACGCGGGATGCGGAGGCCCGGGGACCCCTTTTCCCTGAGATTTCCGTCCTTCCGTCTGTCTGTCTGTGACCTCCTAACCCCTCTCACGCCAGGGCTGCCGCTTAGGGAGGCCGGGCCCTGCCATGCCTTCCTCTGGGGAGCTGGTGCTGTCCAGTTGGAGGCACTGGAGACCCGACCACAAACGAGCCGAATGCTGAGTAGCCCAGATCAGCCTGGAGGGCCCCGCGATGCCCAAGGGTCCTGGGGGGTAATTTCAGACCCGAGACCTTGCCTGACGCTGTCAAGGCTGCAGCCTGCAGACTTTGGACTTAGATTTTGGGGCCAGCCCTGCCTAGGGTCAGAGTTCAGTGGGCTGGGGCTTGCACAATTGGGCACAGCTCACCCACTGAGGCCCGTCCTTGCCAAGCTGCCCCCACCACTTCCAGCTTCCTTTATCACAGCACAGACAACTCTCAGCCTGTTGGCTGTGTTGTCAGCTGTAGAAGGGGTGACATGGGCCCCTCTCTACCTGCTCCCTCATCCAGCTGCAACCAGCTCTTGGCTCTCGACAGCCTCAGCAGCCACTTTGCAACCCAAAGCAAGAGGAGAGGCCACCCCTTTTTGCCCCCATGTCAGACCTCAAAACACCCAGACATGAGAAAATCAGAGTGGTCTTTATAACAAAATTAATAATCATATAACACAGAGTCCAAGAAAATATACTAAAATTTAATTGTATAAATTTAATTGTATAAATTTAATTTGTATAAAACATCAGACAGACACATAGACACCCCACCCCTACCCCCACAGAGGGGTCTGCTGGGGGGCCACAGGTGGGGCGAGCCCCTCCGGTGTGAACAGCTCCTTTGCAGCATGCCCAATGCCACAAGCTCTGTTTTCCAGAGTCAGAGCAGCCTCAGGGTGGGCAGGAGTGGGCCAGCCATGGAGGGCACAGCTTTCCAGGCAGGACCCAAATGCGTGTGCAAAGGTCAATCTCACAAAGAAAGATGCACTGGGCAGGCCGTGCCGAAGGCCCTGACCTGGGAGCAGGCCTGAGTAAACAGCGTGACACAGAGCTCGGGGTGGGAGCATGGGTGCCTGTCCAGGCACCTGATCCCGCCCCACCCACGCCCACAGGAGCACCGCACGGCCTGGCACGTCCAGAGGGGCGGGTCCGGGAGACTGTGTGGCCATCTGGTTCGAGTCTGCCCTCCCCCTGCCGGGCAGTGGCCCCTCAAGAACACAGGCTGTGGGTCCAAGCAGACGGGGCAGTGGTGACAGAGAAAAACCTCTCTCCCAGGGAGGCCTCCTTGCCCTGAGTGTGGGCTGTGGACCCTGTTCCAGTAAAAAAAAAAACTGGCTTTTGGTTTATTTAAAAATAGAAAATAAAGCTGAGTTCCCTGGCCAAAACCAGTGTGGTCAGGGATGGCGTCCAAAGATCAAAGAGCAACAGGATTTCCTTCCTGACCCCAAGCCTTCCCAGCGAAGGTGTCGTGCTGGTTCGGGGACCCCACCCCCACCCGAGATGCTCCCTGTCCCCAAATGTCCCAGCAAATCAGCTCTGCAAGGAGGGCGGGACCTGCCCCCCAGGTTGATGCACATGACGGCCGGGCACCGCCTGGCCTGCTCCCGCCTGGGGAGAAGACAAGACTCAGGAATGTGGTTATTGTGCACCATTGCGGCCAGCCTCCAGACCCCTGCCCAGGCAGCCAGGTGGCCGGATGGTAGCTGGCAGTGACCACTGAAGGCACATGGGATTCTGCTGAGTTGGGCCCACCAAGGTGTCTGGCTCAGGAAGGCCTGAGACTTTTCCTTACAGTCCTGGCAGCATGAGGGCAGTGGGTGGGCAGGGCTCTTCAGAAAGACACGGCTGGCCTCCTCTGGACCCGCACCTGGCCAGCGGGCACAAGGCTCTGCTGGGCCTCACAGGAGTCCAGGAGTCGACGCCAGAGAGGACAGCACCGCAGGAGGAGGTGGTCTCCTGCCAGGGGAGGAGTCAGTGGTAGACCCCAGCCCTCCCCCACCAGACAGCCCCACCCCCAGGGAGGAGCCCACCCCCGCCCTGCCCCAGCCAAGCAGCCCTCACCGATGAGGCAGAGGCCCTCCTGGGCCCGGGTGATGGCCACGTTCACTTGGTTGGGGTCCACCACAAAGCCGAGGAACTTCTTGAGCCAGCCTTTAGTCGGCCGCTGGTCCACGTCACTCTCAGGGCGCGTGCGGACGGTGCTCACCAGCACATAGCGCCACTCGCTCCCTGGGGGCCAGGCAGGCATTGTGAGGCCCCTGCTGGCTGTGCTCGCCATGCCGCCTGCCCCACTAGCCCACCTGCCCCCTTCCGGAGCCTCACCCTGGCTCTTGGTGATGGAGCACACTGTTACTCCCGTGATGCCCTCTCGCACAAGTCTCTTGCTGATCTCTGTGGCCTGTGCATTGTAGGGCGTGAGGATGGCAATGTCCTTGGGGTCCACTGTCCTGCCCAGGGTCAGCTGTTTGGCAATGCGAACCTGAGGGACCGAGGAGGTGCAGGTGAAGCCGACCCTGATGCCTCTCTCCTCCTTGGCACCAGGACCTCACCTGTTCCCTTGTTTCCTCTGCCTCCTCCCCCAGGAAGCCCTCCCTGACCAAATGGCACCAGAGAGGGTCTTGCTAACACTCACCACCTCTGCCACCTCCTCCAGGTTGGCCTTAGAGTTCTCGTTCCCTTCATCTGTGGACACCAGCAGGCTCTGCTCATGGCCCTGCACGTAGCCAAAAATGACAGGGCAGCTCTCCTTGTCAGCGTGGCCTAGGACGCTGGGCGGCCTCCTCAGGCCATGCCAGGTCTTCAGCTTGCCCTTGTAGAACTCCATGGAGGGGAAGGTGCAGATGTCCCTGTGCTGTAGGGCAAGGCTGTGAGCAGGGGTGGCCACCCGCCCACCACCCAGGGCCAAGAGCTCCCGCCTGCGCCCACTGTGGCCCCAGGACAAGGCCTGGTGGATGCAGGAGGTAGGGGAGTGGGCCACAGACCACACCTTGGGCCGGAGGCGCTGAGGCTGGGGCGGCTCACCATGCGGTACTGCGTGTCCAGCATGTAGGCGTCCCTGTGATATCGCTCGAAGAGAGACCGATCCAGACCCAGGTTTTGCAGCTGCTCGTTCTTGACCACAGGCCGAAGCTGCTTGTGGTCCCCAAGGAGGACCACCTGGAGGGACAGGCAGGCATGGTCCTGACAGCCTCAGACCCAGGGGGACCTGGCCCCACGGCCCTCGCGGCCCCACCACAACGCTGCCCTCCCAGGTGGGAGGCCACAGCCAGCGACACCTGCCCAGGGCACCAGCTCAGCACCGGCCTCACTCACCTTCTCCGCCCTCGAGAAGGTCACCAGAGGGATGAGGGTCTCGGGCTCCGTGGCCATGCCTGCCTCATCCACAAGGATCTGCCGGACGTCCAGATTCTTGAGGCTGACCGAGGCTGCACACGAGCACGTGCACAGGATGACCCTGTGGCGGTCCAGCTCGAACTTCCTTGCCTTCCCCAGCGTCCTCCTGTACCTGTGTGTAGGGACACTGTCTGGTCACCCAGGGACTCTCCCATGCCAGGAGACAGCCCCACGGCCCTGGCCACTTACCGAAGGAGGTCTTCCTTGGAGAACACTTCCCCTTTCTGCAGCCGGGCATCAAATGCCTTGAGGTCGGAGGCGTAGGGGTTGGAGGGCTGCCGGATCCGGTGGTGCAGGGTGATGCTCCTGTGGGGACACGGCCATGAAGCCCTGTGCTGCCCTGAGGCAGGACCACTGGGCCCCTCACCTCCACCCAAACAGACAGTTGAGAGGCCACACCTGAGGGTCTGGTTCGGCCTCCCCTCCCGAGGGGTATTCTTGGGCGGACCCCTGCTGCCCACACCGGGTGCGGGGAACTCGGTGGCCTCGGCCTGCTCGCTGTACACACGAAGGGGCTTCAGCTCTGCTCTCCTGCTCAGGAGCAGCCCTGGGGGCAGTCGGGGCGTGAGTGACTGTCCCCTGGCCCAGCACCCCCAGGCACAGCCCTCAGGCGATGACATAGCGCACCTGCCAGGACATCCACCGACTTGTTGGAGGGGCCGCAGTACAGGATGCAGGGGCCCCCCAGGCGCGTCTCCCCCCCAGGGCTGCCACAGGCCAGCGCCTGCTCCTCGTTTGACTTGTGAAACCAGAACACGAGGTGGAGGGCCACCACCGTCTTTCCCGTGCCTGTGGGCAGAGAGTGGGTGAGCGGAGGCCTGCCCGCCAGGGTGCCCACAGCTCCCCCAACATGGCCCACCTGGTGGTCCCTGGATGACCGTGAACTGCTTTCTCAGAGCTTCCCTAATGGCTCCTTTCTGGCTGGGGTTCAGCTTGTGGTGGCTCCCGGGGATGTCGAAGGCCTGTCGCTCCAGGAACCTGCGGGGGGTCCCTGAGGGAGCAGCCAGGCCTCCCTGAGCACCGGTGCAGGGCAGCGCCGGGCCAGGACAAAGGGGCAGGGGGGAAGTTGGAGGGCCTCCCCACCTACCTCTGTGGAGGGGCTGCTGGTGAGGAGGGCAGCGGGGCAAGGGGATGGGCTGGCCCAGGGCGATGCTGATGACCAGTGGGGACGCACTCTCCAGATCACGCACAGCTTCTTCCTTGCGGCTGGGGGCAGGTGGGAGTGAAGATGGACACCGGAACATCGACAGGACTCCCTGGGGAAGGGACCACTGCCCCAAGAGCCACCCCTCCCAGAAGAGGGAGCCCAGGGCGTTCTCACCCCACCCCGCCTGCCAGCCTCTCCCTGGCCTCTGGCCCCGTAGAAGCCACTCACAGGTCGGGAAGCTGCTTGGGCAACACCTCAATGGTGAATCGGCTGCCGGGCCTCAGCACCTCTTCTGGAACCTTCTCCATGGCCATGTGGTGGATAAAGAAGTGCACCTGCTTGCGGGCCTCCTGCCGGTCTGCCCTGCCCTCCTTCAGGTCCCCGTCCTCGGTCAGCCCATGGGCCACCCAGGTGTAGGTGTCAGGGTCAATGCTCAGGATGGGGCTGAGGCTGCTGGGCCCGCGGGGTGGAGCAGCGGAGGGAGGCTGGCCAGGACTGCCCGGGGGGCATGGCGCCCTCTTGTCGGGCACGGCCGGCAGCCCCTCAAGCCGGATGCAGAGGTAGCAGTGGTCGAGGCTGATGTCGATGCAGTGCTCACGGAGGAAGGCAGCCTCGAGGCAGAAGGTGCCCTGTAGCTGGCCCTGTGGCGTCCGCTCCGCATCCCAGGATATTTTCACGTGCTGCAGCGTGATGGAGTCGTTCTCAGCGACCGCGCTGGTGGCCGACTCCAGGGAGCAGAACGGCTGCCACACGCGGGAGTACTCGTTCACGTCCCGGCACCGGTCCCGCCCTGCCTGGGGCACATGGCCCGAGAAGCAGTCGCCTGGCCGCTCTGCGTGCTCCAGGCAGAGGACGAGGCCAGGCGCCACGGTCCACAGCTGCAGGACCGGCGCCAGGAACCCACGCTGCAGGGTGGCGCTCAGCTGCACCTGCAGCGTGTCCCCGCCCCTCAGCTCCCGGGCCACCTCCACGAAGTGGTCACAGTGGCTCCGCCACACCCGCCCCAGCTCCCGTGGCCGGGGCTCCGTGGCGCCCTGAGCCTGCACGAGGGCAGCTGCCTCGGGCCACCGCTGCTCCTCCACCAGCTCCAGCAGCTGCTGCCACAGGGCAGTGTCAATGGGCCGGGTATGTGGGTCGAGCAGGGCGCCGGGCAGTGGGTGGCACGGCTGATCCGCCTGCACCGAGTAGATGCGGCGTCGCCACAAGAGATGCAGTCCCGGCCGGCCCGCCAGGCTGTGGGGGTGCTCGGACAGCTGCAGGGAGCGGTAGTAGACAGGGCAGGGCTCAGGCAGGGTCTCGCGGTTGGCAGGGAAGAGCAGCTTGAAGCAGCGGGCGCCCACCTCCACGTCCACCACGAAGCCCAGCTTGTCCTGGGGTTGGGCCTTGAGCCGCGTGGCCAGGTGCAGGCTGTAGGCCCGGCGCTGGTACCTCTGGGCGCTCATGTGCTGGTGGCTGAAGTCCTGGCAGAGCCCGTCGATGTCCCTGGGGGAGTAGGCGGAGCCCCCCTGGCCAAGCGCCAACAGGATCTGCCGCTGGAGCACCACATCCAGGTACCTGCGGATGGGCGAGGTCGCCCACGTGTACCACTCCACCTGCAGCGAGTAGTGGCTGGCTGGCTGCTGTTCACCCTGGCTGGAGCGGCCAAAGACAGAGCGGCCCAGGGCCCGGCGGAAGTCGAGGCCTGCGGGAGCCAGCGAGGGGTGCACGTCGTCCGTGGTGATGAGGTCCACCAGCCCATCAAAGTCCTGGGCTCGGGCTGCAAGCTGGACGTGCCTCCAGAGGGAGGCCAGGAGGTGCAGGTGTGTGTCGGGGGGGCCGGGGCCACAAAGGTGGTGGCGCAGGTGCAGCGACAGGGGCACCAGCCCCCCATGCTTCTCACGCACGGCTTCCAGCTGGCGGCTGCTGGGCATGGGCTGCCACCTCAGTGGTGTGACCGTCCGCGTGCGCTCACTGCCCACCAGGAACTCAGCTGCCAGTCTGTTGAATTGGATCATGTACTCCTGGACCATGACGTGGGCTGCACGGAAGCCCAGCATGCTGTCCTCGTCCAGCTGCTTGTAGTGGCAGTCGCCCTGCAGGCGGCGGCGACGCAGCACCCGGGAGAGGTGGCACGCGGCTGCCACACAGGCGTCCACCGAGTCCAGGCGGGCTGGCAGCTCCAGGCCCGCACCCGGGTGCCCCTTGATCACCTGCTCAGCCTCCTCATAAGACAGCTGGCGGTTGGAGCGGATCATGGAGGGCGCAAAGCGCAGGCCCCGGACCTGGTCACTGCCCTTCTCCACGGTGAGGAAGAGGGAGATGGCCAACCGGTCCTGGCCTGGCAGGAGGCTGAACACGTCCTGGCAGAGGCCAGTTGGCAGCATGGGCACCGGCTCCCGGTCGGGGGCATAGAAGGAGGTGCCCTGCCTGCGGGCCTCCACGTCCAGCCCGCTGTCCCGGGGCATGACGCTGGCCACGTCGGTGATGTGCACAGCCACCTCGTACCGGGGGCCCAGGTCCCGGACGCTGAGGGCGTCGTCGAGGCTGCGGGCGCCCTGAGGGTCCACGGTGAAGGTCAGGAAGCCGCGGCAGTCCTCTCGGCAGCCAGGCCTCCGGCCAAGCTCTGCGCGGAACTTCTGCAGCGCCTTAGAGACCGAGGCTGGGTCTGGCGAGGGGTCCCTCAGGCCGAACTCCAGGTCCAGGGCGTGGAGGCCCCGCTGCCAGGTGTCGGCCTGGGGCAGCACCTCCAGGACGATGCCCAGCGGATAGTAGAAGCGCTCCCGCCACAGGACGACACGCACCCGGAAGAGCCGGTCGCGCCGGGCTTTGGCCGTGAGCGGCTCGTACCTCACCCGCTGCACGTGGCCCTGCAGGAGGCGGTGGATGGGCACCTGCAGTGGGTCCTTCAGCTCAGCCACGAAGATCTTGGTCACGGAGCCGTCGATGGGGGTCATGATGCGGGGGTCCCACTCATCCATGCGACACACGAACACGAGCTCACGGCACCTCCTCTTGAGCACGCCCACCACGCGGCCCTGCAGCCGCCCCGTGGGGCCCCTGTCGCCAGCAGCCCCGCCAAAGACTTTCACCAGCACCTCGTCCCCGGTGAAGGCCATCCCGCAGTTTAGGCGGCCCCTGACCTGGATGGGGCCGGGGCCTGCGCCGTCCAGCGGCACGGCTGTCGCCCGCTCAAAGGTCTCCTGTGTGAAGGCGCAGTGGCGGTACAGCTCGGGCTCCTCACGGAGCAGCCTCCACAGCGTGGCCTGGGGCAGGTTCACGTACTGCCGGGCCTGCTGTGGGGATGCGGGCCTAGGGATGGTGTCCAGCAGCCCGTCCTCCCCAACGGTCACCGTCACGTTCCGGCTCTCGTCCAGGAGCTCCTGCAGGAGGGAGTCGTCGGCATCGAGCTCCCCGTCGGAAGGCCAGAAGTCGGACTCGGAGTCCTCGGGGTCCTTGGACCTGCTTGCGGTGGCGTCCCTAGGGGCCACGTCACCCCTCGCCAAGTTCCCTGCTGAGGCCGTGTCCCCCTCCTGCGTGTGCACTGGGGCTGCCCCTTCTGCTGCTGGGAGGCCCCCAGCTGCAGACCCTGACACTGTGTCCCCAGCCTCTGCCTTCTGTGTGGCCACGTCCTCTGCCGCCGAGGTCCTGGACGGGGATGCACCCTCCTCGGCCACAGCCCCTGGCTTGACCTTCGCCACTGCCGTGTGCTCTGTGGTTGGGCCCCCTGCTGCCCCCTGCTCCAGGACAGTGTCCACGGCCCCCACTGCCACCGATCTCTCTGTGTGGAGGTCCCAGCGCTGCCTCTGGACCACACCCTGCTTGATCTGCTCCAGCGATAGGTCCTCAGGGAAGACGCTGCGATGCTCCACACACTCGCGGATGAAGCTCTTCCAGAGCTTGCTGCAGTCCCCGAAGGAGCAGAGCGCCACGGCGTCGCCCACAGCCACCACCTGGGACTGGGCTCGGGTCATGACGGTGTTGAGCACGCGGGCATCTGTGAAGAACTCCAGGGCAGGCGCCCCAGGGCCCAGCAGACTGCGGTGGTTGTGCACAGTGCTCAGTACCACCACCCGGAACTCCCGCCCTGCAAAGGGGCGAGGGGATGCGTCAGACTGGGCCAGGAGCATGGCCCCGCCCCACCCCGCCCCCAGCACTGATCACCCACCTGGCAGGATCTCAAAGCTGCCCACAGACACCTGGCCCAGGCCCCTCTTCCTCAGCTCCTGCCTCAGCGCACTCACCTGAAGATATATGACCGATCGGCAAGTGCTCGGTGCACGGTGAGGGGCCCCAACAAGGACGAAATGCCAGCTTCCACGCCCTGGCGCCCTTGAGCCAGCCAGCCCTGGCACCAACCATGTGGTTCAAGCCCCACACCAGCCCTGGGAGATGAATTCTTCAGCCCCTCTTACGGAAGGGGAAACTGAGGCTGCAGAGGCCCAACCGGGGGCACACAGGTCCACCAGACCCCAAGAGGGGCCCCCCTCCGTTTGCCGGTCAGGAGTGGGAGAGCCAGGCTGTCACAGCGCTGGGGGCTTACCTGGGCGCCGTGGGACACGGCACAGATGTGCTTCTGCTCGCGGCTGCCCCAGCAGCGGGGCCAGGTGTCATGGATCTCCTGCACCTTCTCGACAACCTGGGCAATCTCGGCCGTGTTGAGCCAGGACGTCATCGACATGTCGCGCTCGGGGCTGCCCGCCACGTGGCAGAACATGAGCGGGTAGTGCCGGGGGTGGCGAGGGACCCTGCCGCTGGCGTGGATGGGGTTGCCCTTGGCCACGTAGAAGTGGTGCGAGATGAAGCTGATGATGGCCTCGGTGGAGCGGTAGTTCTCGTGGAAGACGAGCCGGCTCCGCCGGGCGACCTCATGCGTCTGCTGCTGGTAGTGCTGGAAGAGGCGGTGCAGCAGCGTGTGGCCGGCCGCCTGGGCCCTGGCCACACTGAAGAGGCGGGGCGTGACCTGCATGTGGTCGCCTGCCAGCACCACACGGGTGCTGGGCAAGGCGTAGCGCAGCGGGGTGAGCGCCTCGCACTCCAGCATCTGGGCGGCCTCGTCAATGAGGATGTGCGAGAAGAAGCCGGCGGGCACCCGGAGCTCCCGGGCCTGGGAGGTGGTGGTGATCACGATGCGGTGCTGCTCCAGCTCGGCCTGCGTCGGCGGGCGGAAGGCCCGGCGGTCCTCCGTCAGGCAGCAGTACTGCAGCGTGGCTGCATCCGTCTGGCTGGGCGGGCGGTCCGTGTACATCACCCGGAGCGGCGCGGCCTCCGGGTGGCCGCTGCTGACGTAGCCATGGAAATGCTCCTCGATGTAGATGTCGGCCGCGCTGAGGGGGGAGAAGGGCACATGGGGCCTCGGCAGCTGTCTGCTAAAGCGCCTACTGTGCGCCCGGTCCCACCTGGATGCCAGGAATTCACAGGAGGCAGACAGACCCACGTCCTGTCCCCACGGAGCTTAAATGTCAGCAGAGGGGACAGACACACAGACAGAGAAAGAAGGGAAGGTCAGAGCCCAATGAGGAGAACTGAGCAACAGCACAGAGCATCCGGGTGATCAGGGAGGGCTTCCCAGAGGAGGCGAAGGAGCTGGCCTTGTGGAGAGGCAGAGGAGGGCACAGGAGGGGCCACGGCCCAAGGCAACCCAGGGTGGCCGGAGGCCAGGGTTGACCCTGAGCTTGGCTCCCCCTCAGCTTTTCGTGGGTGGACAGCAAGATCTGGTGCCAGCTCTCAGGGGCAGAGTAGGAGGGACAGAGAGGCCAGCCAGGGACAGCCCCCCAAACACCCAGGGCCAGTGCATCGTGGGACACGCCGGAGCCCTGCGGCATCTCTGCAGAGACTCGGCATCTCTGCAGAGACTCATCTTCCCCCAGCCCCCAAGGCCCGCCCGGGAACCAGCCCCCGGGCAGAGGCAGCAACAGGCACCTGAGCAGCAGGCAGTGTTGGGAACTAAGAAAACCTTACTGGCCAGAGGGGAACTTCACGGCTGAGATAAGAATCTGCATTTCTCTAAAAACAGCACAGGAGCCTCGCCCCAGGAAATGCGGGTGGGCTGGGCCGCACCCCACGCAGGACTCTCTCCTGGCCCAGGGCCTCCAAGGAGGCACCCACAGCCCTTCACCTGAACAGCAGACCCCGACCCCAGGGTGCCCTGCGCTGAGCCTGAAGCACACACGTCCCTTGCCCCTTTCAGCCCAGGACTGACAGGGTAGAGAGCCCCAAGAGTCAAAGGGACCGGGACTCGCCTCAGGGCTGCACCGCCCACCCAGTGTGCACAGGGCGCCAGGGGCAGCGAGCTCAGCCAGCCCAGCCCCCACTCCACCCACGGCCAGGTAGTCATGGCACGTGTGCTCTAGAACTGGCCGCCCAGGCCTCCAGTGAACCTGGGGACCAGACAGAGCCCCAGGCCCAGGTCCCCCTTCGTCTCCAGGGCAACGCCATCACAGCTGGGTGCTTGCCGCAGCCGGGGTGGCAGCTCTGGGCTCACCTGTTGGTGTGTGTGCAGATGAGGACCTTGGTGTGGGGCTGCCGGATGACCTCCAGGGAGGCCATGGCCAGCGTGTAGGTCTTGCCCGTGCCAAAGGGGCCATAGATGAGCAGCGGAGCGATGGGCTGTGTGCCCCCAGGGTTGCTGCCCACTATGAACTCCACGGCCAGTCTCTGCTTGCGGTTGCCGTGCAGGGCGGGTGGGGTGGGCCACGGGCAGGGCAGGGTGCAGGCCAGCAGGTCGGGCACCACCAGGCGCTCCTCAGGCAGCGCGTCTACCGCTTGGTGCCAGAGGCGGAAGGTCAGCGGATCGATCTGAAACTGCACCTCCAAGACCGGGCTGGCCTCAGGCTGCAGCCCCAGGGCTGTGCAGCATTGGGCAGGCAGCAGCAGCCACAACGCCTGCTCTGAGCTGGCCCGGGTCTCCAGCCGCACCTCGAACACTGTGTGGTCAGGCGCGGGCACAGGGGCCACGAGGGCCGTGCTCACCGCCCGGCTTAGCAGAAAGCCCTGGTCTGTGTCCGGTGTCAGGGAAGAGGGGATGGGGACCTGGGCGTAGAGGGCTCCCGGTGGCGGGAAGAGCATGCCCAGGGCTGGTGTCTGCAGTGCCGTCTTCAGGGACACTGGGCCCCGAAGGTTCAGCCTAGTGGGAAGGGCATGAGTCAGCTGACCCGGGCCACAGCGCTGCCGTCAGCACCCCGCAGCCCCCACCTGCCCTCTGGCCTCCACTCACTTGGCCACTAGCTGCTGCTGAGCGGCCTCCTCTTCATAGAGAAACTGGTGCATCCTCTGCCGATAGTTGGTGCAGGAGATGGGACCTGGGGCCGGGCCACTGCGACTGAACTCCAGGGCCAGGGCAGGCACCTTGTACTTGGCCATCAGGGCCACCTGCTCTGCCGTCCGAGCCACACTGGGCACCACGTGGCGGTTGCCAGGGTGCCAGCGCTCCAGCTCCATGGGGTGGCCAGGCACTGGCGTCCCTTGGAGCCCTGTGCAGTGCACCTGGCCCAGCTGCAACCCCAGCTTTCGCAGCAGTGCCGGCCGGCGGCCAAAGTCAAAGACCACCCACTGCTCGAAGGTGCCGAAGGAGGCGCTCTGCACACACACCCCCACCTGGAACTCAGCCCGGGAGCCGGGCACACAGAAGCGCTCCCCCTCTGCGTAGACCTGGCCCCGGGGGAGGCAGGGAGCCTCCAGCGAGAAGTCTGCTCCCGGCTCCTGCTTGAGCAGGGCCACGTGCAGCAGCGGCTCCTGCAGGAAAAGATGGGATGGTGTGGCGGCCCCCAGGCCCCGTCGCAACCATCAGGGTCCAGGCTGATGCACAGACCCCTCCCCACCCTCCTGTGCTTCCTGGCTGTGACCCCAGCAGGGTGCTTGGCCTCTCTGAGCCTTGGGGCTCCCTTCTGAAAAATGGGGTCACAGAGCCCCCTAGGCTGCCCCCATGGACACTGAGCAGGGGATGGCACAGCATCGGACGCTTGGGGTGTGAATAGTGGTGACCAGCCTGGTCCCTCACTCCGTGCCAGGCACTCCACAAATAACCCCATGGGGCCGGGCACAGAGACACTAGGGACTTGCTCCAGATCACACAGACTTGAGGGAGAGGCTGCACTGGGCTGCCCTGATCCCTCACCTCAGAGTGGATGGTGAACATCCAGCTGTGCTCAGTTTTCTTCTCCTGGGCCTGATGCACCAGGGGCTGGTTGCAGGTGATGGACACGCCGTCGACGGTCTCGGCCAGCTGCACACAGAGCCCTGGCCATCAGCAGGGTGGCCCTGGCCCCCACCCGCCCCACCCACTCACAGCCCCAACTCACCACCGAGATCTCACTGCTGCTGCGCCGGTACTCTGCCAGCAGCCGCACTTGGTAGGGCACCAGCCCCTCCTGCCAGGCCGCCTTCTCCCGCAGCTCCACGGTCTGCACCCGTGACACCCACTCCTGCAGCTCCTGCTCCGAATGCGCCTTGGTGCAGACAACCCCGTACTCACAGAGATCGGGCCTGGAGGAGGGGAAGTTAGCAGGCCACATGGGGGTGAGATCCCTTGGCCCAATACTGGCCTGTGTGGGGGAGCAGGAAGAGATTCCAGGCCAGGGGGCAGGGCAGGAACAGGGACCTCCCCTGTCCTGTCCGCTACTGTACCCCAAGATAAGGCCTGGCACAAGCGGCCTCAGTGGACCTCCCTTACCCATCCCTCAGAGGCCGACGAGGCACCAGCCAGTCAGGGGACAGCAACTCCTGGTTCCAGCTGAAGGTGGGTTCTTCCCCTGCCCCCAGCCCCAGCCCCACTGTCCTTACCTGGGGCAGAGCTCGAACGTGGAGAGCCCAGTGGGCGGGCTGCGATGCTTCCAGGGCACGGCCTGGTCCAAGGCCACCATGTGCGCGTGCTCCACGGATGAGCAGTGATTCTCAAAGGCCTCCTGGGAGTGACAGGTGACCAGGCAGACGCGGCAGTACAGCCGGACTCTAGGGGGCTGGCTGTGCGGGGCTGTGTGCCCGTTTCCCGCGGGTGCAGGGGGCATGAGCAGGTCCCCCCGCCGGAGCCCACTCAGCTGCTCCGCCTCCCACACAGCCATCTCCACAGCACTGTGAGCGTACTGGCAACGGGATGCCCCGTGCCGGCATGGCCGCCCTCGCCCGACGAACATGCAGTAGGCCAGTGGCTGACTGTACTGGGGCCGTGGCCGCACCTCCACAACCTGCTGCCTGCGGCGGCCCTCAGTGCTCACGTGAACCAGGAGCGAGGGGCAGGCCCCGTGCTGGGAGCACCACCCCGGAGGGTCCACAGGGCAGAGGCGCGGCGGGTAGCGTCGGAAGCAGCACGAGCAGAGCAGCTGGAACTGGCCACCAAACTCCGCGTAGATGGCATCAGCTGGGCTGCGCAGCTCGCCCTGGGCCCCGCCGCCCTGCACCGCGGCCTTCAGCCACAGCCGGGAGAGGTTGTGCTCACGCTCGAAGTTCCAGACCAGCGCCTCCTCAGGGCTCCGGGCGAAGGTACACTGGTTGTAGTGGCGCCGGCACCCGACCCCAGGCCTGTAGTAGCGGCAAACTTCATAGCGCAAGGGCTGCGGGAAGCTGGGCCGCCGGTCCACCTTGCGCCAGACCCTGCGCTTGGTGGCTCGCTTGGAGCGAGCCAGCAGGATCTGGCGGGGGCAGCTGTGCTCCACCGCGCGCAGCAGGTATGTGCTCTCGTTGAGGCGCTGGGTGCAGCGGGAGCAGCCCAGATGCAGGTCCACCTGGGCGCACAGCCTGGCCAGAGGCGGCTCCTTGGCGGCCGTGGGGCTAGTGGGCGACGGGCCGAACCCAGGGAACACCATCTCTGACACTGGCCTGTCTCTGCGGAGCGGCATCTGAGGCTCAGGGGCTCAGCTGGCCCTCTGGGGCTGTTCACCCACAATGAGAAGGCTGGGACAGAAGAGCAAGGAGCAAGGTCAGGCCCTGAGGCTGCAGGGCCTCCGCACCCAGGTGGGAGCTCAAACACACCCTGCCTCTCCTCGGGCAAGGGGCCGAGGAAGCAGAAACAGGAAGGAGAATTCTTCCCACATGATGGGAGGAGAGGGTCGTTTGCTCCAAAGAGGCTGGGCCCCCTCAACCTTGACCCAGCTGAGTCTCCTCCCTTTCTGAAGTCTCTGGGCCCTGCCCAAAAGGAGCCAGCCCAGCAGCGAGTGGGAGGGGAGTGCCCCAGCAACAAAAACCCTGGGGACCGGCAGAAGCCCTGGGGGCCCGTGGACTTCCTGACCCTCCAGCCTTCTTCCTGGGGCCTGGCGTCCTAGGGCGCCTCAAGCTCCTGGTCTCCTGATTCTTCTACAGAGACAGCACCCCTGTTCTGGGAAGGACGGTTGGCCCCTGGGAGCAGTGCCCCCACAGCTGCCTGGCCCGGGGGACTGGTTTCCTCCCCATTGGGGTGGTGCAGGATCTGGCGGGGGCAGTGCTCCACCACGGGCAGGAGATAGGTGCTCTCCGCCAGGCGCTGGGTGCAGCGGGAGCAGCCCAGATGCAGGTCCACCTGGGCGCACAGCCTGGCCAGAGGTGGCTCCTTGGCGGCCGTGGGGCTAGCAGTCAACGGGCCGGACCCAGGGGACACCATCTCTGACACTGGCCTGTCTCTTGCTGGGGCACCCCCCTCCCACTCGCTGCTGGGCTGGCTCCTTTTGGGCAGGGCCCAGAGACTCTTCAGAAAGGGAGGTGAGGAGGGAAACACAGCAGGAAGCAGAACCTCACAGAGGCCGGGCCCTGCCCAGGTAGGACTGTCACCATCAGGGCTCCAGGAGAGAATGGGGACGCCCTGGGGGTCCCCAACCCAGCTGGGAAACCACTCCCTGCAAACATTGCTGGGTGGGTCTAAAGAGAACTTTCAAGGCAAACTGAGGGTGACACAAAGATGTTTTAACAGGAAATGATTAGAACGGCTGCCTTGAGAGAGAAGCCACCCCAGTCCAAAGGGGAGCCTGAGTCCACCCGGAAGGGACCAGAGCCCAGACCCCGAACCCGGGGATGTTCAGAAACAGGGGCAGCTAGAGCCCCTGAGGACGAGGCTAAAGGGTTGGGTCCTTGGGGTCTGGAGACCCCCGCCTCCCCCACCCTCCAGGCTCCGGCCAGGTCGTGGGGAGGGGGCTGCTCAGCCACCCGGGCCGGGGGCTCCGAGCTCGTGGCCAGAGTTGCCCGGGCCCGGCACCGAGTCAGCTCTCCCAGGGCAGCTGGCCAGGCTGCGCGCCTCTCGGGGGTCCTTGGGCTCCGCCCCCACGCCCCGGCGCCCCATCCTGCCTCCGCCCCCCACCCCGGGGTCCCCAGGAGGTCCCGACCCGGGAGGGCGCTGGAAGCACCGGCCGGCAGCCGAGACCCCTGCGCGTCCCCGGGCGCTCACCCCGGGCGCGGAGCCAGGTCCCCGCCGCCCTCCTCCGTCGCCGCCGGGCACCCCATTCGGCCGCGCCCCTCCCGGCCCGGCGATCACTTTCGTTTCTGCCCCCGGGGTGACTCAAACCTCTGACGCCCGACCGCGGAAATTACCTCACTGCCCCCCGCCCCGCCCCCGGCCCGCCCCCGAGTGATCTCACCACCGCACCCCCGACCCCGCCTCGTGCGCGGGCCAGAGCGCCCCCGAGCGCGCGGCGCGTCCTCCCCGCACGGGGCGCGAACCCGGCTCAGCCCCGGGTCCCGGGCGCTCCGGGCGGGCGGTGTGCGGAAGGGGCCTGCCCGTGTCGGGGTGAGGAAAACCAGAAGGACATTTAAGGTGGCCCGGTGCCGCCAGCAGAGCCGGTGGGTGGCCTGGCGCCCCCATCCTCCAGCGCAGACAAACAGGGCTGCTGACGACATTCCGCAGCAACTGGGGGTCCACGCAGGAGCAGGGCCCTAACGGGAGCGGGAACAGGCCAAGAGCTGGGGGCCCCACTTGAGAGGCAGCCCTTTTCTAAATGGCATCGGCCGGTCTGGGTCAGAGCCCTCTTATTGGGGGGGGGTCCTACCTGAGGAAGTTCTTCCCTAGGGGGCCTCTGATGTTATATCCAGCCTCTTAAAATGCACCAAAGATGTGTGGCCAGGGCCAGAAGAGTGAGAAAAGCCCCCAGTTCCAGAGCAGGGGGAGCCGCGAGGCTGTGCAGTCCAATTGCATCTGATGCTCCCAACCTGCCTGCGCAGGGCAGCTCTCAGCCCACTGCAGAACACAGAGGGCTGCGGTCAGTGGGGAAGCCCCAGCAGCCAGCTAGTAGCCAAGCTCCAGCTCCCCACATTACCCGACTGACCCCAGTGACCCTGCTTCCTAGATTCCCATCCCTGTGGAGTCCCCTTGAACACTGAAAAGTGCTCATCTGTGTAACCAGCGGCTATGGCAGAAATGACGGAGCAGGACAACCAAGGCTGGGTCATAAAAGACACTGCACTTCCTCCTTGCTCTCCTGGGTCCCTGGCTCTGTGGGAAGCCGGCCGCCATGTTGTGAGGATGCTGGAGCAGTCCTGCGGAGAGGCCCAGGTGGCAGGAACTAAGGCCTCTGCCAAAAACCAGCACCAGTTGTCAGGCACGTGTGCAATCGTTTTGCAAGTGGACCGTCCCTCAGACGAATGCGGCCCCACGAGAGACCCAAGCCTGAGCCACCAGCTGAGTGGCTCCCAACTGTGAGACAGTAAGTGGGTGAGATGATAAATGTGGCTTATTGTTTTAAGCCACCAAGTTTTGGGTGAATCCTCACCCAGCAATAGAGCACTGATACACCAGTGCTGTCCCTCGGGTGATGCAGGGCGTCGGCATCAGCCCAAGGCCAGCATCCTCTTAGAAGGGGCAACAGTGGAAGCTTCCCATTTGAGTCAGGAGGTTGGCTGGATCTGCCATTAATAATCACATCAGGAGCCTCAAGACACATAAAAATCAATAGAGGAAAATATTCTATAAATAATAGCAGCAACAAAAGACCCAGGGATGAGCTTAACAAGAAATATGAGAGAAAACAGAAGTGTTCCTGAGACACACAATAGAACACAGTGGAAAATGGAATGGAATGCTACATTCTTGGATAAGCAGACTTAATATTTCACAAAGACGTCTAGGACATTTCACAAATTTATCTATGAGTTTAATGCAATCCTAAGAAAACTTTAAGAGGAATTGAGGGGCAGCCGAGTTGATTGTAAAGTTCATTTGGAAAAGTATAACATAAACAAGCAAGAATGGATAGGAAAATTATTACGAAGAAGACTAATAGAAAGTTGAAGAGGACAGAACACTCCAAAATTCATTTTATGAGGCCAGCATCACCCTGATACCAAAAGCCAGACAAGGACACCACAAGGAAAGATTATGGACCAATATTCCTAATGAACATAGATGCAAAAATTCTCAACGGGGGCCGGCCCCGTGGTGAGTGGTTAAGTTCTCACGCTCCATTTCAGTGGCCCAGGGTTTCACCGGTTCGGATCCTGGGTACGGACATAGCACTGCTCATCAAGCCATGTAGAGGCAGCATCCCGCACAGCACAACCAGAGGCACTTACAACTTGAATATACAACTATGTACTGGGGGGGCTTTGGGGAGAAGAAGAAGAAGGAAAAAAAAAAGATTGGCAACAGATGTTAGCTCAGGTGCCAATCTTTAAAAAAAAAAAGAATGAATAAAGTGTTTTAAAAAATTCTCAACAAAATATTAACAAACTGAATTCAATAGCACTTTAAAAGGATCATTCACCATGACCAAGTCGGGTTTATCCCTAGGATGCAAGGATGGCTCAGCATCCGCAAATCAATCAATGTGATACACCACGTTAATAGAATGAAAGATAAAAATCATGTGATCATCTCAACAGATGCAGAAAAAGGATTTGACAAAATACAACATCCTTACATGATAAAAACACTCAACAAAGTGGATATAGAAGCAATGTTCTTCACATAATAAAGGCCATATGTGACAAACCCACAGCCAACATCACACTCAATGGTGAAAAGCTGAAAGCCTTTCCTCTAAGATCAGGACCAAGACAGGGGTGCCCACTCTCACCATTTCTATTCAACATAGTATTGGAAGTCCTAGCCAGAGCAATAGGCACAAAAAAGAAGTAAAAAGCATCCATATTGAAAAGAAAGATGTAAAATTGTCTCTGTTTGCAAATGGCATGATCTTATATACAGAAAATCCTGAGAATCCACTAAAAACTATTATAACTAGTAAACGAATTCAGTGAAGTTGCAGGATACAAAATCAACATACAGAAGTCAGTTGCATTTCTGTACACTAACAGTGAACTATCTAAAAGAGAAAGAAAGCAATCCCATTTACAATAGCATCAAAAATAATAAAATATTTAGGAATAAATTTAACCAAGAAAGTGAAAGAGCTGTACACTAAAAACTGTAAGACAATGATGAAAGAGATTGAAGAAGACACAAATAAATGGAAAGACATTCCATGTTCTTGGATGGAAAGAATTAACATTGTGAAAATGTCCATCCTACCCAAATCAATCTACAGATTCAATGCAATCCGGATCAAAATGCTAACGGAATTTTTCATAGAAATAGAAAAAAGTATCTTAAAATTTATTTGGAACAAAAGACCCCAAATAGCCACAGCAATCCTGAGAAAGAATAAAGCAAGAGGCATCACATTTCTGGATTTCAGGCTATATTATGATGCTATAATACATAATCGAAACAGCGTGGTATTGGCATAAAAACAGGAACATAGATCAGTGGAACAGAACAGAGAGCCATGAAATAAACCCATGTATACATGGTCAATTAATTTATGATAAAGGAGCCAAGAATATACAATGGGGAAAGGACAGTCTCTTCAATAAATGGTGTTGGGAAAACTGGACAGCCACATACAAAAGAATGAAGACGTGAAAAGAATAAAGAATGGACCCCTATCTTACACCACTCACAAAAATTAATTCAAAGTTGATCAAAGACTTAAATG